CAAGGCTACTGTCCCACAAAAATTGATGCTGATTTGCATGTAATACAATATGCATGCATCTACGTCCTACAGAAATGCACAAGCATTCCTTCCACCCAACCCTCACCTAGTCCTCATTAATAATATCCAGAAACTAAGATACAACTATTGGTCTCTACTTGTCTGGAGCAAAAGAGAAAGAAGGAAACCAAAGACTCAAAGAAGAAACTGGTCTACAGGACAAATAGTTCACACAAATTACGACCTCATCTACCCTAAGACCAGAGGAACTAGATGGTGCCTAGCTACAACTACCAACCATCCTAATTAAGGCCACGATAGATGGATCCTGATAGAATGGTAGAAAAATGTGGAACAGAGCCTGAAATTCTTAAAAAAAAAAAAAAAAAAAAACAGACCTACTGGACTGGTTAAGACTAGAGGACTCCCAAGACTGTTGCCCTGAGATACTTATCAGACCTTGAACTAAAATTAATCCCTGAGGTCACCTTGTAGCTAAGTAACAAAGTGGCTCAAAAAGTAATGAATATTGTCTCTAAGTACTGTGCTTTTTTTAAAAAACCACTTACATGAGACCAAATGGTCAACAGTTACTTTAAAACAAAGATGAGAATGTAAGGGGCCAGGGAAACTAGATTAATGGAAACGGAACAACCAGAATGGAAATATTGAGAATGTTCACACATTGTGAAGGCTATAACCAATGTCACTGAACAACTTGTGTAGAAACTGTTGAATGGGAACATAAACTGCTGTGTAAACCTTCACTGAAAACACAATAAATATTATTAAAATAATCATAATAATAATACCCAGAGACCTAGCCTAGGGAAACGAAAGATGGGGCCTGTTTGGAGAAGTTAGAGGCTCCCACCCTTCCAGACCCTTTTTCTTGCTCCTCTTTTTCCCAAGCACATGAGACCCTGGGATGGGAAATTTGCTTTGATTTTAGCCAAGCAACCTGGCAGCCCAGGTCAGCCCACCTGCCAGGTAAGCAGGGGCTGGAAGATGCTAGAGGTCAGAGAGCTGGGACTAGGTGTGTAGCACAGGGGGAAGGAAGCAGCAGGCAGCCAGTGAAGGGTATTTCTGAGCACTTTGAAATCTAACCGCTACCTTGCAAATGAGATCAGCCCAGCATGCAAATAGACAGAATCAAGCTGAGACAGTCCGGGTAGGGGAGAAAACGGCCTGGCCCTGGAGCCCCAGCAGGGGGACAAGGGCTTCCTCTGGAGGGAGCAGGAATGCTGGAAGAGAAGGCTCCAGTTGGGGGCAGGGGCCCTGTGTGCCCAAGCCAGCAGGGGTGGGGATTAGGGCTGGACGCCCCACTGTCAGGTTAGAGCTGATGGATCGCCGCTGATGGCGGAGCACAAAGGCTGCTCTGTGCTTGGCACCAATGTGTTCCCATCCATCAGAGGGCAGCTCGTGTGGGGTGGAGGGGTGTGCGGGGGGAGGAAGGCTGAGTCTCTAGATGCAGCTTCTCCACAGCTCAGCTCTGAGAGAGGAATAAGGTGGGTAAAGGGCCAATCTCCCCAACAGGGTGTTGGGAGGTCAGAAATACCTGAGGAGTCCCTGGGTGGTGCCAATGGTTAATGCACTCAGCCACTAACCAAAAGGTTGGAGGTTTGAGTCCACACAGAGGCACCTCAGAGGAAAAGCCCTGGTGATCGAATTCCAAAAAATCAGCCGTTGAAAACCCAATGGAGCACAATTCTACTCTGACACACACGGGGTCATCATGAGTTGGAGTTGACTCAACGACAACTGGTGGTGGTGGCAGAGATATCCAAGTTGTCTGTAAAGATTAAAGCCTAGGAAACCCTATGGGGCAGCTCGACTCTGTCCTATAGGGGTTGCTATTAGTCAGAATTGACTCAATGGCACACAACAACAACCACTTTCTACCTTGGCTAAATGACTTTGGGTACTTATATTCCTTACTCAACTGTAAGTACTTCGAAGGCCGAAAGACCATGTCTTATTCAGGTTAATAACCCTAGCACCTCACACAAGGGGCTCAATACATGTGTCTTGATTGAAAGAATGAATGAATAAATCTAAACACACAAAGGAGAGTCAGGTTTTCCCTCCCCCATTTCTGCTGCTCTAGTCCCCTGGAGGCAATAAGCAGAGCCGGGGAAACAGCCTGAGGAGGAGAACTGAGTCTAAGGGGGAAGTGGTAATGAGCAGGCGTGAGAAAAGGACAACACAAGGAAAAGGACTAACACTAATTGGGTGTTTCCATGTTCCAGGTGCCATTCCATTTAATACAACAACAATCGCTCCCCTATGAGAAACACACATACACACCATCGTTTTTGCCAACCTGAACCATGGCTCCTCTCTGGGTGGCTGACCCATCCTCATGCCTTTGCGTGGGTTGTTCAGACCTTCATCACCTCGTTCCTGATTATTGTCATGTTCTTCTATATGGTCTCCTCACCTTAGTATTCAAGTTCCTCCATGCCCAGTTGGGCTTCCACCTATCTTTGCAGACTTGTCCCCAGTCACCACCTTACCTGAACCTGAGCTCCATACAGACCAGTCTACCCAATGCCCCCTTTGCCTTCCAGAGATATCTCCTCTTTCCATCCAAATCCTGCCTGTTCATCACCCAGCCTCATGTTCTCTCTTTCTCAGGCCTTCCTCAGAGACCCTAGCCTTCCATGGTTTCGCCTTTCTATAAACTCCTGAAACACTCTTTTGTGAATCCACTCATTTGCAGTTGATCATGGCACCCATGTTTACCCTTGAGTTAAAGTAGCTCTCTCTTGCATTGTCATTTAGCATTCACATTTCAGTGTCCATGCTCACCAGAACTGGATAGTAAGATCCTGGAATCCATCAGAGAACAAACCTGTTTCTCTTCCAATCTTTGAGGAAGTGGACACATTGTTTAAGAGTAAGTCAGATTCGATCTCAAAAGAATAAAAATATGCAATTTCTGGGTTTCCATAGTAGCTCTGACATCACTTCTTTTCTCAGGGTTCATAGGATTAGTGTGTAAACTGAGACAAAGAGTTTTTTTTTTTTCTTTGCTGGGGAGTGTTTTGTTGGGGGAGTGTGTCTCGGGAGTAGACATTCTTTCTTTTTCAGCCCAATTGGTTGGGGCCAAAGAAGGTTTAGAACTCCCAGCCCCCATGCTGCCACTTTCCATAGTGCTGGTGAGGCCAAGAACCACATTAGGAGCTCATTGCCCCCTAAGATGCTCGGGGCTCCTTTGTTGTCCATCTATGTCCTCTCCTCATCTCTGTGTCCTACCCCAAAAGGACAGCAGGATGTTCCTGGCTCCTTGTCATGCATAACAGAAGGGAAGGCAGACGTCCTCAAGCGCTGTTCAGACATCACTTCCCCTGCAAAGTCTTCCCTGAGTCCCCAGCATGGTTCCTTCTTCCCCTTACTGTCCTTGCCACTGGCTTGAATTATAAGATCAGTCTCATCTGTCATATGTTGGGGGGATCAGACTTAATCTGTATGGTCCTAGAGAGAAGAACTGGGACCAAAGGGTAAAGGATACAGGAGGCAGATTGCAGCTCAAAATCCAGAAGGACTCCCTGTGGCCACAGCTGCACATCAGTGGAATGGGCTGCCTTGTGAGATCAGCACAAGCTGGACAATGGCCATCTAGAGAGGGGATTCAGGCATTAGGGGTGGGGTAAACTAGGTGACCATGTGGTCTACTAGATGGTAAGGTCCTCGAGGGTAGAGACCCTGCCTTTGGCTTCCCCATAATCCTCAGTGCTAAAACTAAGCCTTGTCCACTGTTGGTATCTGAGGACTGCCCAGGGCACTGGAAGGAATGGGTACTCTCAGACCCCAAGGCCTCTACTGAGAGGCGGCTGTGGACTGAGAAGCCGGAAAGTTAAATAGTCCCTCCTCCACCTGACACTTGAGCCCTGTAGGATATGTGTAAATTGATGGCAGAGACAAGAAGAGCAGACCAACCAAGCCAGGGAGTCAAGAAGAGCAGAGACTTAAACTGAGTCTGAAGGGTCCTACTTTCTCTCCTTCTCACTTCATCCACCATAAGGAATCAGGAGAATTCTGGTGTCCTAATGGGGCTAGAAACAGAGTTAAGGAGGACACAGAAGGGCAGATAAATGATCCAGAGTGAAAGAGGGAGAAGACGGGGGCAGAGGAGAGGCAAGGAAGAGGTGGGTTTAGGCTGGGACCTTAAGAAGCCAATTTATCCATCCCCCTGCTTCCTAACAGTGGGCAACAGTGTGGGGAGGGGGCAAGGTGTAGCTGCAAGTTCTAATACTCACTCTGATTCTGGCCAGCTGTATTAACTGAAAAACTTTCCCTGACCCTTCCAAAAACAAAACCAAAACCAAAAATCCTCTTGCTTCAATTTACCGCTAATCACATGAGACCTAAGAGAATACATGATGTCAAAGATACCTTGGAAACCTGAAGTTGAATCCATTTGTCCTCTGAGTTTCAATCCTTCTTATTCCTGGCCAGTAGACACCCAACACATCCCCAAAATTTTGAAGCAGTTTCATTCTTTGGGGAGGAGGTTCTTTAAAAGTCTTACTGACTGACATAGTCTGGGTAAGGTGCTGGTCAGAAAGCAGGGGGATGGATAAATTGGCTTCTTAAGGTCCCTTCCAGCCTAAACACACCTCTTCCTTGGCCCTCCTCTGCCCCTTCAGCTTCTTTGGGACTAGCAAGAAGAAAGAAGGCAGGCAGCCCAGCTAGGCGTAATTGAAAGGAGCAGATGAGAGGAGAATGCCTGTCCTCCCCCACCTCCCCTGTCCCACGGGAGAGATGAAAACTAATCAAATTACACCCGACGGCCTCCCTACCCGTGCACAGGAGCCGGTCCGGGCCCGGGGCAGGCTGGCTGGGTGGGGTGGGGGCCGGGGGAGAGAGAAGGGGAATCACATCTAATCCACTGGAAACGTCTTGATGTGCAGCAACAGCTTAGAGGGGGGCTCAGGTTTCTGTGGCGTTGGCTATATTTATCTCTGGTTCCATGCCAGCAGGGAGGGTTTAAATGGCACCCAGCAGTTGGCGTGAGGGGCTGCAGGAGCTTGGGGGCTGGTGGCAGGAACAAGTCTTTTCCGACCCCATGGAGCTGTATGAGACATCCCCCTACTTCTACCAGGAACCCCGCTTCTATGATGGAGAAAACTACCTGCCCGTCCACCTCCAGGGCTTCGAGCCTCCGGGCTATGAGCGGACTGAGCTCGGCCTCAGCCCCGAGGCCCGAGGGCCCCTAGAAGACAAGGGGCTGGGGACCCCAGAGCACTGCCCAGGCCAGTGCCTGCCATGGGCGTGTAAGGTGTGTAAGAGGAAGTCGGTGTCTGTGGACCGGCGGCGGGCGGCCACTTTGAGGGAGAAACGCAGGCTCAAGAAGGTGAACGAGGCCTTCGAGGCTCTGAAGAGGAGCACCCTGCTCAACCCCAACCAGCGGCTGCCCAAGGTGGAGATCCTGCGCAGCGCCATCCAGTACATCGAGCGCCTGCAGGCCCTGCTCAGCACCCTCAACCAGGAGGAGCGCGACCTCCGCTACCGAGGCGGGGGCGGGCCCCAGCCAGGGGTAAGTGGCCATCCCATCCACTGGGCCTGCGGGAGTGGGCCAGAGGAGGCCCTTGGACAGCCTCAGGACAGCACAGTGGGGCTTAGTCAGAGGGGCCTTGGGGGGCTGCAGGACCCCTTCCTTTGTCAGAGCTGGGCTGTCCAGCTGACCGCGTATGTCTCTGTGTCCTTTCCAGACAAGATAAAGGTGGTGGGGAGGAGGTGCAGACGGGGGTATGTGTGCTCTGAACTGAAGGAGGGACCCAGGAACATGTCCACGTCAGCCCACTGGGGGTGAGGATTAATCCTGGTGTTGGGATATAGGGTCTAAAGGGCTAGGCCAAGCACATGGGAGAAGACTGCTTTGCCCCCGGCCCACCCTCACCCTGTGTGTAGCTGAGCAGAGGAAATCAAACCCGCTCAGCCCCATTGGAACCCCACAGGCCTGAGCAGAAGTGGTCCTGCTTGGGCTGGACCCTCTGCCTCTTTCATCTTTAACCAGAGGCAGGAAAACCAGAGGCCCCTTTAAGCTGTGTGTCCTGTGAGAGCAGAATCACCTCCCAGGGTCAAGGCCACGGAAGGCCTGGAGGCAGAGGCTCTGGGTCACAGAAAGGAGCTGGTTGTGAAGATTCTTGAGGTGGGGGGTGGCCTGGGCTGAAGGGCTGCCGCCCATGACCCACCCTCCAACCCCATCACACGTGCTTCTACCCTCTAGGATTGGGCGGGAAGAGACATCTAAGAATGCCTGTGCCCTGACCTTGGGCCTTCCCGCTATCTTGCAGGTGCCCAGTGAATGCAGCTCCCACAGCGCCTCCTGCAGTCCAGAGTGGGGCAGCGCACTGGAGTTCGGGCCCAACCCTGGGGGTAAGTGAGGCCTGGATCCTGGTGACCTTGGCTCAAATCCCTCAGTCCTCACCCCCACTCCTACCCCCTAGACCTGGTTCTCCCCTCTTACCTTATTTCCTGCTCCAGCCCTCTTTCCTTGGCCTCTCCTTGGAACTGCTGAACCCAGGTTCCCAAGCATGCCTCCCTGAGTGGTCTAGGGCTCCTGCAGTGCCCCAGCTGGTGCCCGGCAGCAGCTGACCTTCTCCACGGAGAGGAGAATGTTTCTGCCCCAGGGGTCCCTGGCAATTGCTGAGTAGGTGCTGCAAAACTGGGCCTAGCAAAGTGCAGTTCCAGTCTCCAAGGATACACTGCCCTGGCTCCATCTTGGAATAGCTGCTTCCAAATCCTAACCCCACTAGGGGAGGTCGGGGGGAGGCAAGTGTGTGCATGCGCACACACACACGTACACGCGTGCACACACACACACACCCGGCATCAGGAAAGGCACAGGCTGGGGAGTAGGATTCCTGAGTTTTGCTCGCCCATGTGTCCTGAAAAACCTATGACACCCCAAGGGGTTCAAGACCCCCTTCACCCCCCAGGTCACACCCTCCCCACCTTCTCCTTGCAGATCACCTGCTCACAGCTGACCCTGCGGATGCCCACAACCTGCACTCCCTCACCTCCATCGTGGACAGCATCACAGTGGAGGATGTCACTGTGGCCTTCCCAGACGACACCATGCCCAATTGAGATAGTCTGCCAGGCCAGGCATCCGTGCGAGCCCCCCGAGCTGACCAGAGCCACCACCACTTCTGCAGCAGGGACCTCCTAAACCATGCTGCCCTGATGCCAGGAAGGCAGCTCCAGGGCTACCAAATGCCAAACCATCCTCTCCTTATCTACATAAGGTTAACCCACCACCCAGCAGGGGAACGGACTCCCTCATTCAGCTGACTCCTTAGAGCAGAAGGCATCCCGTTTCCTGGGAGATAAAGCAGGGGACCAGAGCGCCCCCCATGTATGCCCCCTGGGTCAGGGGGCAAACTCAGGAGCTTCCCTTTTATCATAATACAGCCTCCAACTCCCACTTCCCAAAAGAAACATTTCAGGAGACAAAGACAGTGTCCCGACCTGGACAAGCTGCACACATCTCCTGCTCTTGTCTCTTCCAAAGCCAGGGGCTGGGCTGGGCCTGCCCTGAATTGAGGGAGAAGAAGGCAGCGGGGGGAATAATCCTGTTCCTAAGTCCCTGGGGGGCCAAGCTTTTGCAGTGAATATTGGGAACCTTCCAGTGGTTTTATGTATTGTTTTGTTTTGTGTGTTGTTTGTAAAACTGCCATCTGACCAAGGTCTCCTGTGCTGAAGTTGCCAGGGACAGGCAGGGAAGGGGGAGGGGGGACTCCTGGGGTGATTTCTTTTGTTAACTAAGCATTGTGTGGTTTTGCCATTGTTTTGTAATTTTTCGCTAACTTATTTGGATTTCCTTTTTTAAGAAATGAATAAAGAATAGTTGCTAGAAGAGTGTCAGTGATGATGTAGATGGGGGAGGGGGAGACCAGACACCCCGGCCCTTCCACTCAGCCATCCAGACACACTCCTGGGGCAGGGCTTCCAAGGATGGGAGCGGGTGGAGCTTTGGGGAAGAACCAATACTCCAAAAGCACTGGAGGCACCATCTTGTGGGTGGTCACTAGGGGCTAGGGATCCCTGCTCTTTTACCATTACAACAGAAGCCAAGTCTGGTCCACAGGCTGGGTGAAGACTAGATCACAGAAATCCTGGTGGGACACGGAGGAAAATCTGCTGAGCATTCCGTTGCACTCCAATTCATAGACACTGTTCACAGTTTACTGCCCGCCATCTTAGATCCCAATAGGTCCATTCGATTCCAGTTAATTGAGCAAGCTCATATGCCTAGTGCTCAGCCCACAGCCAGGAGGACTCATAAAGGGTGCAGAGCTGGGATCCTTGCCTCTCCTCTGGTGCTACATCACCAGGAGCCCTATAGGAAAGTAGGAGGTGATTAAATTAGGAGCACTGAGCTCAGACACTAGATCACGTCCTTGGCGGCCAAATAGCATGTCTCCCTCCAGACTGAAAGTGACTCTGGCCCCTGCATTGGGCAGGACAGAGAATGAAGGTAATTCTGCAGGGGTAGGGGGGCTGACAAAGAACAGTCAAGGGAAGAAAAGCTGAGGTTCTCTTCATGTGGATGCGCTTCCTGAGGGAAGAAGGTGGGTAGGGAATAGCAAAGATTTTGGATAGAGATTATATGAGGATTAACTGTGGAGTGAACAGGAGCTAGAATTTCAATGGCCCATGAATATCTACTAAAAGTTTTATTAATTCCAGCCGCTTTGGGCTAAGTTTGTCTGATTTATTGCAAATTACAAGTTCAGAATTATTACAGAAGTCGGGATTCAGAGCGTGGAACACCCCAGCCCCCATTCAGTTCCTTGGAGTCTTTGACAACTGACATGACCCAGTTTTATCCTGGTGACTTTTATCTGGTGACTTTGCACTGGGCTCTGCTGGGCCATCTCCCCCACACCTGACCTCCTGACCTTGCTCCTGAACAACAGGGTCAACACCCTGCTCCCAGAGCTTCTCCAGAAACTCTGCCTAAGGAAAAGAAGAAGAACCTGGGTAAGGGTGCAGAAGGGAGGGTCTCCCCCGGGGCCCATTTGTCCCAACCAGCCAGTCAGGGCTGGGCCTATTGGGAGCTCCTTCCTATCACTAACCACAAATCGGCCTAGTCTGCCCTTGTTTGTGGGATTTCCTTCTACTTGAGTTTGTGTATCTGTTTGCAGTCTTGCCCCATCGGGGGCTGCAGAGAAGTCCTTGGTCATTTCCATGACTCACTGCCCCTAGGGATAGGGAGGGCAACAGGCCTAGTCTCAATCCTTGGCTCTCGAATCCGCATTCACTCCCCTATTACCCACCAAAAATACACATTCAAGACAGATCTCTCCCCTCAGGCTCATTTCCTCTGTCCCTGGCAACTCCAAGCTCCAAGGCTGGATACAGTCCTGTTGTCTTCAGTTGTGACCTGCCTATCCTATCCTTTACCTCCCCTTTTACTGGGAGATGGGCTGGTCAAGAACAGCATTCAGCTCTACTAAGGAGCCTCTGGGGTCCTTAAAAATTTAAATTTTTTAAAAGTTTATTCCTCTTAAGTTATCATGTCAATTGGAAACTTGAGGTTCATATCCTGGAAGGAATGAATAGGCCTCAGCAATGGCTATTAGTCAAGAGTTCCCTACCATTGTCAGGGTAGGCATTGTCTACTTACTTTTTCACAGTCTTTAAGTTCTTAAGGGAGAAACCATTTGTTGGAATTTCACAGGTGTGAATGGCCAAGCAGGAGCCCAGCCTCACTCATTATTTTCACAGAATAATCAATGGTCATCAAAGCACTGAGAGTGCTTAAATTAACAAATGCTCAGCCTTCACAATGGAATACCAGATAGACTCCAATTAAGGAATAACGAGTTGGAGTTCTTTAGGGAAATCAGCTTACATTCAGTCTTCAGTGAAGAAAACACCTACAATAAATCAAATTGGGTTAATCAAATGCTGCCTAAAAATGGCCCTTAGGGAATCCACGTGAATGAGAAGATAAGAATTACTTGAAACTTGCATATCAATTGTTGGTATGTAAACGGGAATTTCCTAGATGTCTAGATAATTAATGTGAATTGCAGAATGTTTTTGTTGCACCCCAGTAAACATTCCTAGATATCTAACTTCTCAAAGTAATTTATTCGGCAGACTGGAAAACCTTTTGAGGTGCTGCAGGTGTAGTAGGTGGCTGGATCAGTTAGAGAGGGAAGAAGAGAGGGGACAGAGAAGGGGGTGAGAGATGTCCCTCAGCTCAGGTATTTGCTTCACAGCATGTCACATGCCTTGGACTTCTCTGGTTTCTGGGCTCCAGAGTGGGGAAGAGCAGCCTGGAGGCAAGCTAGAGTTCAGGGAGAAGACCACAAGGCTCCGGGCTGAGCTGGGGTCTCGGCTCAGGAAGCATAGGCCAGCCCAGGCTGGGGTGAGAACCCCAAATCACCACCCTGCTGCTATTCTGACTGTGCCTCATTCATCCCTGTCCTCCTTCAGCCGCAGGCAGCCACCCCAGAGCCCACGTTCCCTGCTTCTCATTCTGCTTGGACCATTCCTAAAGGAGGCAAAGGAGAGGGCTCTAAGAAAGAAACCTAGATTCTTCTTTTCTACCAATGCTCACAGAAACAGGCCTTTAGGGTCTTATGGATTGAATGTGTCCCCCAAATATGTGTTGTTAAATCCTAAACTCTATGAATATACCAGATATCCTGGTGGCATAGTGGTTAAGTGCTACAGCTGCTAACCAAAAGGTCAGCAGTTCAAATCCACCAGGCGTTCCTTGGAAACTCTATGGGGCAGTTCTACTCTGTCCTATATGGTCGCTATGAGTCAGAATCGACTCGATGGCAATGGGTTTGGTTTTTTTGGGTATGAATATACCAGGAGCCCTGGTGGTGCAGTGGTTAAGAGCTACAGCTGCTAACCAAAAGCTTGGCTGTTTGAATTCACCAGTCGCTCCTTGGAAACTCTATAGGGCAGTTCGACTCTGTCCTATAGGGTCACTGAGTCAGAATCGACTTGACGGCAATGGTTATGAATATACCACGGATGCCAGAAGAACAAACAAATCTGTCTTGGAAGAAGTACAGCCAGAACGCTCCTTAGAAGCAAGGATGGTGAGACTTCATCTAAGGTACTTTGGACATGTTATCAGGAGGGACCAGTTCCTAGAGAAGGACATCATGCTTGGTAAAGAAGAGCGTCATTGAAAAAGAGAAAGACCCTCAACAAGATGGACTGACACAGTGGCTGCAGCAATGGGCTCAAGCGTAACAACGGTGTAGGACCAGGCAGCATTTCCTTCTGTTGTACATAGGGTCGCTATGAGTCGGAACTGACTTGACAGCACCTAACAACAACCATAACATGCCTGTAGCGCAGTGGTTAAAGCACTTGGCTGCTAACCAAAAGGTCGGTGCTTGGAACCCACCAGCCGCTCCTTGGGAGAAAAATGCAGCAGTCTACTTTCATAAAGATTACAGCCTTGGAAACCCTATGGGGGACTTCTACTCTGCCCAATAGGGTCACTATGAGTCAGAATTGACTCAATGGCAGTGGGTCTGTTTTGTTTTTAATGCCTGTGGTTATAAACCCATTTGAGCATGAGTTTTCTGTTTTGTTAATGAGGCAGGATTAGTGTAAAGTGTATCTTGAGTTAACCTCTTACAAGAGATAAAAGGAGCAGATTAGGCAAGCAGAGATGAGGAAAGAGAGATGCCAAGCCACATGAAGATCGTCCAGGAGCAGAAGCTCAGAAGAGACGATGACCTTCCTCTGGAGCCGGCGGAGAGAGAAGGCCTTCCCCTAGGGCCGGCATCCTGAATTAGGACTCCTAGCCTCCTCAACTTTGAGAAAATAAAGTTTGGTTTGTGGAAGACACCCACTTGCAGTATTTGTTACGGCAGCACTACGTAAGACAGGGTCTCATGTCAAGTTCAGCGTGTCCAAAACCAAACTTCCATTTCCACGTAAGCCTGCTCCTTCTGTTCCCTGTTCCAGAGGATGGCCAAACCAAACCCACTGCTACTGAGTTGATTCTGACCCGTAGCGACCCTAGAGGATGGCAGCACTGGGAAATCTTTGTTTTCCTGGATTCCTTCAGATTTCATTCCTGGAGCCAGCTGGTCACCATGGCTTTTCAATTCCACCTTTGGTCATCGGAGTTGGGGGTGGGGGTGGAGAAGGATATAGGCACTTGATCACCACATTCCCTCACCTCTGTTTGCTCCCCCTTGGCTATGTCCATGTTGCCTCGTCCAGCCTCCATCCTGTCATCTGTGCCTGTGGACTGTGCCATCAGTGTTTGGAGCACTGACAGGCCTTGGAGAGGGTACAAGGGTGGATGACACATTGTGCTGCCCTCAGAGAGTTCATCATTTAGGTAAGTAGAAGGAACATGGCCCCATGAAGAGTCACAGGAACCAAGTAGCACATGAGTGGTACAGATATAAAAGTTTGGGAAGGGGAGCTGGGGTGGCTGGGGAAAGCTTAGCTGAGTGGTAGGGGCTTGAACTCACTTAAAAGAGAAGTAACATTTGTGGAGCACTCTGTGCCAGGCACTAGGCCAAGAATTTTAATATACATATAGTAATTAAGGACACCTGGGTTCCTGGGTCGCCCAAATGGTTAAGTGCTCGGCTGCTAACTGAAAAGTTGGCAGTTCAAGTTTACCCAGGGGTGTCTCAGAAAAAAGTCCTGGCAATCTACTTCCAAAAAATCAGCCACTGAAAACTCTATGGAGCAGAGTTCTACTCTGACACACATGAGGTTGCCATGAGTCGAGAATCGACTTGATGGCAACTGGTATGGTAGTTAAGGACATGGCAGTAGAGTCAAGAAGACCTAGGTTGGAGACCCACCTGTATCTTACTGGAGCCCTGGAGGCACCGTGGTTAAGAACTCAGGCGCTCCTTGGAAACTCTATGAGGCAGTTCTACTCTGTCCTACAGGGTCGCTATGAGTCGGAATCGACTCCACATCAACGGGTTTGGTTTTTGGATTTTGTGTCTTACCACCTGCGAGCTTGTAGCTTTATAACTTCCTGTCCTGTAAAATCGTTATTATAATACTTACATCACAGGGTTGTGAGGATTAAATGAATATACTGTATTTTGCATGTATACAGTAGTACTCACCAATTTGTAGCTTTTACAAACAGTAATCCTTATAACAACCTTCTGAGATAAGTTGGTTCGTTTATTCATTTGAGTACATACATCTATGGACATAGAGGTCAACGAGACTGACCTAAAGGAGCTTCCTCACAGCCCAGTGTGGGAAACAGACCATGAGACAATTACCACACAGTATTCGCAGTGTGCACAGAGTGCTAGGGGAGCAAAAGGCTATTGTTCTCTAATTCTGCCAGGGAGGGGCAGGGAATGACTCCCAGGTGATGCTGGAGTGGGTCTCAAAGGTTCACAACTGCAAAGGCAAGGAAAGAAGTAATCACACTGCCTCCTGGTGATGGGTCTGTCTAGACATAATGTTTCTGAGTTAGACTTGAGAGTGGTAGGAGGCAGAAGCAGCCCCAGGAGTCAAGTCATGAACGGTTTCGTATACCACACTGAGGAGTTGGACCTCTGATCTAGAGGTGGTGGGAGCTGCTGAAAGAGTGTGAACTTGATGGTTGCACATCATGAGAAATGCAATCAATATCAAAAAAAGAAAGAGTTTGAACAGTGCAGTGATATGCCCCAGAGTGGTAACTCTGAGAACAGTGTGAAAGGATAAGAGGAAAGCAAGCATGACCAGGTAAGTAGAGATGAAGAAGAGGAAATATATTAAGCCCAGCAGTCAGGACTCCTCACTCCTTCATCTCTTCCTCTACTTCCTCAGCACTAGCAACCCAAACATGAACCTCTCTATCAATCCCACGGTTATTTAAGTAAACAGAAAGTTATTAACTATACGTTTTTTAAAGCTCTGATATTTACTTCCCAGCATACAACAGCTCTCAGGACTACGAAAAAAGCTAAACATGTCAGATGAGCTCAAAACAACAACAAAAGACAGGAGGCCATTTGTATGTTGTCTTAAAACCAGGTTGTTTATTGGTACATACACACCCACACTCACACCCACACCCACACACACACCCATTCTTGATGCACTGAGCCAGTACAGTACTGAGAAGGGACCTGACGAGGTACAGGAGGCTGGCGAGGAGGGCTCGGGTCACTGGTGACTCTCCAAACAAAAAATATATTGACTATGAGGCAAGGAATATACCAAGACAACGGCCTTCCATCACTGTGTGCACAGATTCCTCTTCTCCATCACCTCCCGGCAATACTTCCCAAGATGCCTTGAGTGGACCCGGTTCCCCCCAGCGGCTGCCTTATGCCATGACCAACCATGACAGGGGTAAGTTGCAGAGGAGAGGTTGGGGCTGAATCTCCCGCACAACTAGCCCACCTAGAGTCCTCGGAAGGATTCAGATGGCTTTCTGGTCCCCAAGTCCACCAATCTTAAGAATTTAGGGTTTCTCGATAATCTTAACATCCATTATCCACAGGAGTCTTTCTTTCCATCCAACTCATTTTCTGCTAACTCCTCCAGCTCCACTCCCAGAGGCCTGATGGCCAGGGAGGGTACGGTAAAATGAGGGAGACCAAGACCAGGTGGCTGCCTTGCCCAAGCCTAAGGGCGGGCCCATCCAGCCACTTCCCTCTACTGGAAGCATCAGAAGGCCTATGCCCCAGGCTGCAGCACTCCTTCCAGACAGGGTGCTCTGACCCATTATCCCACCTGCTAGCCTAGCTCGACCCCCCTCCCCCCAAACTCATAACTCAAGTTGATCAGGTTGCAAACCAGCTGCTCCAGCCACCTGTAGGATGGCACTGCCCTGGCCCCTCTCCAAGAAACACGCCCAGAAGCTTGTCTTCTCCTCTCACTTGGATGAAGCCTTGGGTTCCATCAACCTACTCTGAACTTGGGTCCCAAATACCTCCAACCACCTTGACAGGGTGAGGGAGTGGTAAGGAAGAGGGATTTCTTGGGAATGATCATTCTTACCAAACCAGGACTTGTATACCTCAGTCCTGGCTCCCACCATGCTGCTGGGGATAGCAATTAGAATGACGAAAGCTGGAAGGGTCTCAAAAATTTCTGGAAGAGGCAGTCCCTGAACACCAAGAGAGTCCTGAACAAGGGGTGAGGGATTTGGGGGACAAGCAGGAGAGTGATTGCCCTCACCAATATTGGTTTTACTGGACTGGGACTGACTCACTGAAGGGGAAGTTTTATTTTCTTCCTGGGAGGTCAGGAGAAGGAAGCCTTGGACTACCTTTTCCCTAGATCTGAGTTTTGGGTGATTGTGTATTTGAAACACCCATCAGGTTTATTCTTAAGGGGCTGGGACTACTAAAGAAGTGGGGCAGAGGAGGACTGCAAGGAAAACGATGCCGGGAGCACAGTTGGCAGTACACGGTTAGACCTGGTCTCCCTCTCCCCTCAGCCCAGCAGCAACTCTGCCCTATGGTTAGGCAGAAGGCATTCCCACTACCCATAGGGCTTAATGCTACCTGAGGCCATTCGCTCTCCCTCTGGCTGGCCTGTGTACACATCTCACTGGGTGGGGATGGGGAGGACTAAGAACTTCTCCATCCTCACCCATGGCCCAAAGCTCAGGGGTCCATTTCTCTCAGATTCTTCCCAAACTCACACCTGGGATTCAGCTTAAGGAAGGGCCTGGAACCTCTACTTCAGTCTCCCTCTTCCCCAGCCACACCATCCTTTTGCCTCCCAGCTCCTAAGAGAGTACTGGAGGCCAGAGCTGCAGTTGTGGAGATGGGCTGCAGAAGGGATAGTACTGGGGGTGCCAAAACCAGATGTCAGCCCATCTGGCACATCCAGGACATGGACAGGGACCCAGAAGGCAGAACAGCCCAAGAGGGGCAGAGTCTGAATTGCTCTTTTCTTGGAAAGGCAATCCCCAGCCCCTGGCACCGGGTCCTGGTCCCTGACAGAGGTCGAAGTCCAGACCAGGCTAGGTCCAGAAGAGACAGGGTGGAGTCACACTGACCCTGGGCTGCCGTCCTCTCCCTCCCCTACAGTCCCAAGCATGGACAACCTGGGTGCCTCCACAACACTAAACACCCCCCAGCCAGGTCCACCAGAGACTTACAGAGGACACAGGGTGGGCCTGGGGGTAGTGGGATGTCGAGGGGCTGGACGAGAATACTCTGAGATCCCGGGCAACTGGAAAGTCACAGACGAGACTAGGAGCCGTGGGAGGAAGGGGAACAAGCAGGAGGGGTCAGGGCCGGCAGAGCCCTGAAGCGCAGAAGGAGGGAGCCGGCCCTGGGGGCCGTGGCTAGTCCCGGAAGGCGGAGAGCATGTGTCCGTAGAGATAGTGGGAGTGAGCTAGGAAAGAGAGAAACAGGCAGAGCGCAGTGAGTTGGCAGTTAGTCCCTGGGAGACAAAAGGGCAAACGGTGGCGTGCTTCAAAGCGCGAAGTGCCCAAGGCCAGAGGAAGCAGGAAAGGGCAAGCAGGGCCCTGCGCGCGAGCAGCCAGGCCGGCAGCCAGAGGCGGGCGCGGGGAAGCCGCTGGCGGGCCGGCGGGCCCACGGAAGCGGAGGCCGTGTGCGGGCAGAGGGCCGGCAGCAGGAGCGCCCCGCGTCCCCGGGCCGGGCCCACTTACCCCGAGCCACGGGCACACCCCGTCAGACCCGGGGCGGGAGGGTGGGGGTTCAGCAGGAGTAGGTCCGAACCGTGGAGGTCTCCAGTCTCTGCGCCCCCGCCATCCCGGCTGGGAGCAGTCGGCAGCGCGGGAGAACACAGAGCGGCGGGTTAGTGCGCGCACACGCTCGCGGGAAGCCCGGCCCAGCGGCCCCACCGCACCGCCCAGGCCGCCGTTAGTGGAGCGTCAGCCCGGCGGGGTGCAACCAGCCTCTGGCCTCGCCTCAGCGCCAGCGCCAGCCCGGCCCCGCCCTCTCCAGCTGGGTCCCGGGATGCCAGGGCAGCACCCCGAGCCCTGGTAGCCTCGGCAGTGCCCAGCCAGCTTGTCACTCACCTTCAGGCATGATCTTCTTTGGCGGGGCCTGTGGCGGCTGCAGGGACCCCAGAGTGGACACGCGGAAGCCGGCGGGGAGCGTCTCGGCCGAGGCGCCGATCATGCCGCCGTGGTGGTCCCGCGGCCGGAAGCGTTTTCTCCAGGAGGGCGCGCGGCGGAACACCTTGTCGTCCCCCTGCACCAAGGAGACACGCAGAGGCCCAAGGGGCATGATAAGACTTGTCACCCTCACTCCTTGTCTAGGGGGATGGTAGTCATGGCTGATTCTAGAGACATTGCTCCCATCCCTTTGGAAAGAGGAGCAAGGTCACGTCCGTTCCCTTTCCGGCCCTCAGTTTTTCCATCTGTAGAATGAAGGGGCAGCAGTGGATGATTCTCAAGGGCTCTTGAGGCTCTGAAATTCCCTGTCTGTAGGTGGAGTGGGGGTCCCCTCTAGGCGGATCTGTCACCTCACAGTTGAACTCTGTCCACCACAGCCTTCACAAACCTGGCTTGGGATACCCGTTGACCTCTCTCCTCAACCTAGGGTATTCCTCCTCTCAGCCTCACCCCATGGGAAGTGGTCCCCAGCCAGGTCCCCATACACCCTCTCCTGCCTTTCTGGGACCTCAGTATGGCTGCAGTCCCTGTATGCTGGAAGAGTGGTCAGGAGTCAGAAGACTTGGGTTCCAACCCAGGCTTTGCCATTTCACTATCTGACCTTGGGCAAGTTAAGAGACCTCTCTGAGCTTCAGTGTCCTTATCTGTCAAATAGTAAATCCTGCTCTACCTATTTCTCCAGCTGCCTATCCCTAATGGGATCAAGTGAGAGAACCCTATGACAGTGATGGGTCAGGCAGATGACCAATCAGAGGCAGGCTCCTCCCAGGGACATTGCCAGCAGCCCTCTGCCATCTGCTCCCTCACCAATGTAGGCCAGTTCTCCAAAATAACCATCTCTGCCAAAGGACACCCAGAGCCACAGCCCTACAGGGCCCCACCCTTTGGAGTTCACACATCCACCCTGCTTTGTAGCCCTCCAGCCGGTGTCTCATCTCCTTCCACCCCTGTGTTCTTGGAACTGGTGCAGGCAGAGTGGTACCAGCAAGAACAAGGGGCACTGACCCACCTGTTCCAGCCTCACTTCCCTCTTCCAGGCCTAACCTCTTCAAGGTTTGTTGCTAGTGCCCTGAGTAGGCCAAATGCTTCGATCAGTTCTTAGCACCACATACTTCTTTGTCATAGTACTTGTCCTAGTAGGATTTTACATGTACATATGTGATTGTTTCATAATCCCTCTCCCTCTCTCAAATTCTGTGCTCCATGGGGCAGATCCTTCTTGTTCCATTCAGTGTATCCCCAGGACCTAAGTAGCACCTGGGCACATCTGCAGGCCCTCAACAAGTATGTGTGAAATAAATGGATGGCAGTTGGCTCCCTATACAGGTGTCCCATCCTGAGTTTATTAGGCACTTTCCTCATCATTTCTGTCCTCCCCATGATCCCACATTTCACCTAGCCCGGAACAAAGACCTGCCCCCCCTTTCCCTTTCTCTCTCCATTTCTACCTTCAGCCAACCCTAAGGATGTGTTTTTTGTATTCCTCTCCTGCCCCCTAATAGTCAAATGTTCTTCTTGCTCCGCTCATCATCATCATCTCCCCTGAGTCCTGCCCTCCACACAGGGGGAGAAATGGATGCAGCCCTTCAGAGCCTTGAAGTGTGAGAGGGAAAACTAAGAACCAGAACTGGCAGAGGGAGTAGTTATAAGAGAGAGCTCAAGGTTGCTGATGATGTGCTAGACGGCTGGGCAGAAAGCAGTTCCCTTGGCTCTCAGACACCCCTTCCCCTCTAATCACACCTTATTCCCAGGACCTGGCCTTCTACTTCTTAAAACTTCCTGCAAGACCAGTCCTCTCCAGCCGCACACCTAGCTGCATCCCAGAAACCCATCATGCTGCCAGATGACATCACCTACTCAATAACTCCACCCCAACGCCAGAAGCCTGATAGGCCAGCTAGCGCCCCTTGCTCCCAAGAGTAGCAAGATACAGGGGAAGGAGACAGGAACCGCACACATGTTGCTCTGGTCCTGCTGTGCCATGCATCAGCTCTGTGACAGCCGGTAAGTTACTCTACCTCTTTGTGCTTCAGTTTCCTCACCTGTCTTGCGCGATGATCGTTAGCATAAAGTGAGATGTCTGTTGCCACTGTGCCACCAAGCCTGATGCAGTGCCTGGCACAGAGTAGGCATTCAAAGATTTTTTTTTTTTTAATGACTGAAAGAATACATAGCTTTCTAAATTAGATATATATGGGAGTCACTTTTTTAGACAGCAACCAAGAAAGCTAAAATTCTAGGAGTGTGGGGAGTAAGTGGGAAGGGTCAACATCACAGAGGGCATTGGGAAAATTAAAATCAGGTCTCTGAGAGTGGGGACAGCTAGGACTGGCAGTTTATCTCCTTGGTTGGAATAGCAGACTCTGATACATAACATACTCCAAACTTCAGGGTACCTGTGTAGAAAACACCCCTCCACAAATTCTGTGTATTCCTGAGTGTGCCCTGTCTCCTGAGGCAGGGCAATCGTTCTACAAAGGTGGGTAAAACCAATTAAGGAAAAGTAGGTAACACGAATGCTGCCACAAAGGAAGGCCCAGAAGTCTACACAGAGGTGATGGTGGGGGGCAGGGGTTTGGAGAAAGGGAAGCTGCACAGAAAATGGGGGTCAGAAACAGTGATCTGATTTAAGATGGAGAAGCTAAAAATAGTCTTTTTAAACTTGCTTGGAGCCAAGTCAGCAAAGGTAGGCCTGACAACCAAGGGCAGACGGTGTTGGTGATAGGAAAGCGAGCAGGGAGAGGGAAGGGAGGAGGAGGAGGCAGGGGTGAAGAGGGGGATCATCTACAGGAAACAGCAGTGAGTTCAGGCAGACATCTGTAAGGGGAGTACGATGGCCCAGACATAGTCCAGCCTAAACTCCAAGGTAAGGCCTAAAAGAATCAAATGGCAGGGCCTTTCTTTCGTCAGTGACTGAAGGGCTGAGAGAGAAAAAGCTTTAACTTGATATGAAGGTAGAAGCAAGAGTGAAACTAGAGAAGAATCTGTATGATCCTACAGTCTTGACCTGTGTGTTTTGCTGTGGCTAACTGCATTGAGGAGCAATGTAATTTAACTACTACAACACAGCTTCAACCTCAAACAACCGCACACTGTGGGATGGGGTGGAGTCCTAAGTGCAGGCTGGAGATAGCTGATAGCTGATAGCACTGAAGAGATGGGGCCTCAGAGAGAAATAAAAGGGCATGGTCCCACAGATATGGCCTTTGGAGGAAACTTCTGATGCTATGTGGTCAGGAGGGTGGGCCACAGAGGTGGGAGATACTAGAAGTATAACATATAGGAGCTGTTATGGATTGAACTGTATCCCCCCAAAATATGTGTTGTAAATCCTAACCCCTATACCTGTGGTTATAACCCCATTTGGGATGTTTTTTCTTTGTTATGTTAAGGAGGCAGTATTAGTGTAGGGTATGTCTTGAGTCAATCTCTTTTGAGATATAAAAGGAGCAGATTAAGCATGCAGAGACAGGAGGAAGACAGATGCCATGCCACATGAAGACCACCAAGGAGCCAAGGAATAGAAGCTAAAAAGAGACAAGGACCTTCCCCTAGATCTGACAGAGACAGAGAGCCTTCCTCTTGAGATGGCACCCTGAATTCAGACTTCTAGCCTCCTAAACTGTGAGAAAATAAATTTCTGTTCATTAACACCACCCACTTACGGTATTTCTGTTATAGCAGCACTAGATAACCAAGACAGGAGCCTTCAGATTTTGTACAAGGAAAGAGTTTCATAGAGACTTCTCCACAGCCTATTGCTGCCCAAAGACCTGCTAGGCCTGGCCCTGACTTCCCAACTCCCTAACGTCATCTCCATTCCCTCTGGCTCTCCTCCCTTAGGCCACCCTATGAGTTACCAGCCCAGGGAAAACAGAACTCATGAACTTCAATCCTACCATGGCCATATCCCCAAGGCCCCTAACTCAGGGCAAGGTACTCACGTCATCCAGCTTCCGGTCTGTGCCCAAGGCCAACAGGTTGTTGAACTCTCTCTCCATCACCTGGCGTGCCTGTGGCCATAGGGCAAGAGGGGGAAAGGTGGGAGGGGCTATAGTTTATGACCTCTATGCCATCTTTCACCTGTTCCTCGGGCTCTGAGGGCAGAGATGGGGGGTTTCAGTGCATTTAGCTCATTAGGGAGAAGTATCTGGAAACTTTATACACCTTTCTGACACTGCTCTTTCAAACCTCAATGTCTTAGAAGTGAAAACTGTAAATCTTAGGATTCTTTCATATGGTGCAAACAAGCAAAACATAATTTTTTTTAAAAAAAAAGGACCACAGAACATAAGTGAGAAGGCTTTGCCTACAGGGAAAAAAAACACATTTTGTCTCTAAGGGAAAATCATGCCTTACCACCTTTCTGAAAGGGGTAAATAAGCACGTAGACCCCGGAAAACCAGAACTTACCTTACTTGGATCAAATAAATAGATTTGATAAGGTTCTACATCAAAAGCTTAAATTTGGAAGACTGTATCGTCAGGGATACTCTCCTGGGCTGGGTGGTGCATTGAGACCTCTAAGCCTCCCATGTGTTTAACTCACTCGGAGTTTTGGGAAATGCTAGAAACAAGAAAGTTTTCAAAACTGCCAACAGATATTTTTAACCATCTTTAATAAAGGGTTCCATATTGGGTTAGATACTGCTTCCCACAATAGTGAAGTAAATGAATAAACCAAAACCAAAAACCAAATCCATTACTGTCAAGTTGATTCCAGCTCATAGGGACCCTAGAGGACAGAGCAGAGCTGCCTCATAGGGTTTCCAAGGCTGTAATCTTTACAGAAGCAGACTGCCACGTTTCTCCCACAGAGCGGCTGGTGGATTCGAACCGCTGACGTTTCAGTTAGCAGCTGAACGCTTTAACCACTGTGCCACCAGGGCTTCTCAAATAAACGAATGGGTCAGGAAAATAAGAAAGTGTACAAAGCAACAGAGAGGTGTCCCTTCTAGTGCTGACAGATCTACCGTTATCTACAAAACTGCATGCACTTAGATAGGAAACAAAAGAGAACAAGCCCAAGGTCATTTCTGGGTGGAAGAGATGAACCACAGAGCTCCATAAGGGCAGTCTTTGTCAGTAGTAGAAACATGTTACCACATTTTTAGAAACGCTCTGAGAAGGGGAGTGCAGTAAGTTTTCCAGTATTCAGATGACACTGCCCCTCTGGGTAGTGGAAAGGGAAGATGACAGGTATGAACTTCTGAAACATCTCACAAAGCCGTGAGTGGGCAGGAAGGTGGCAGACCAGCTTCCACACAGGCAAGTGAAGAGAAACTGCATTGGGGGAAAAATCTAACTTCTTAGAGAACCAGGGGATCTGTGCTATCTGGCAGGGGAGGTTCTGGGGACACATGGTCCTGTGTGCTGCCATCACCCCCCAAAAGGCTGACACGGTGCCCAGCATTACAGACAATACACAAGCCAAAACCCATCTGCTCCCAGAATAGCCCACGCAGTTCTGGTGGCTGAATTTCAAAAGACCTGACAGCTGCAAACAGTCCAGACAAGGGCAGCTAAAATGATCAGGGGACGGAGGCGAATCTATATGAGGAAAGGCTAAAGGAATTAAGACCACTGTGTCTGGAGAGACCACGGCTGGGGCGCAGGGGCAACACAATGAGTTTATGGAATCACAAAAGGTGAGAACTGGTCAAGTACAAACACCCCTACTGAACCTAGAATATTAGGATTAGGCAGTTCCCCAGGGGGAGCCAGACAAATAAAATCAGGAAGCACTTTATACAACAGGTAGTACACTTCTGGAATCCATTACCCACAGGAAGTTACAAAGGCCAAAAATATAAATAGGTTCAAGACAATTTAGATATATTCTCAGATGACAGCTCCATAATAATTAGGAACGTAATTTAAGGAGATGCCTAATCTTCCGAGCTGCTGACAGTGAGACAAAGCCCTGACGAGGAGAGGCCCTGGGCTGTTGTTTGGTATATTTAGCTTTCTTAAGCCTGAGGGCCCAGGAGCACATCCCCAGGATGGGAGACAAAGGGATATGGGCTCTCTGATCCCCTCGGGCCCCAGGGCTAGTTCTCCTTCCAGAAAAGTCAGGTCAGAAAAGCAGGCTGAGGTAAAGGTAGGCACGGAGCTGCCAAGATGGGATGGGGAGGAGACGGGGTAACCACAGCAGTGTGGGGATTGACACTGTACGGTGTCCTATGTCCAGGCCTGCGCTAAAAGTGCTCTTATGTTAGGGCCCATGCTCCTTAGGGGACTTGGCTATTCACAGGGACCACTTGGAGGTTTGAGGGCATTGTGATCCCCTCTGGCACAGGCCCCAGAAAGCCCCCACAAATCCCTAAGCCTCCGTGGTGGTGGGGGGTGGGAAAGGAAGAGGGAAAGAGAGATTGACTGATTACAAGGTGGCCCACCTGGGTGTTCTGCGTGGGGATCTGGAGGACCAGGGCCAGCGTGTTGTGGTCAAAGTTCTCATCCAGGGCCAGCAGGGCACCATGCACACCGCTCTCATGCAGGTTTCCTGCGTAGTCCCGAAGCCCAATAGACTGGACCCAATGAACCACCTGGTCGTTGGTCCAGACCAACACATCTGAAGGGTGGGGGAAGAAAAAAGGCAAAACAAGACAACAGACTGGCCAAGGCCCCTCTAGGGACAGAGAAATAGTGCTACTTAGACCCAGAGCCCCAGTCCACCCTGCTCTCTGGTTCCCACACCTTCCTTCTGTCCTCCATGGCCCCTGGGCTCCTGGAGAACCATCACCCCCTCACACCATCCCTGCCAGCCTGTGGCCTCCGTGCATGGGGCATCCCACTGCCCTCAGGGTGGAATGGCCCTCTTCTTAGTCTCTCGGCCTTCCCAGTCTCTTACTAAGACTTGCCTCTCTTTCCTGTCCAACCCATGTTTCACTGTCCCAGGGGGATTCACTGCATTTGTCTAGTTGGTGGCCATTGCAGAGGAGCGGAGGGGTGTTACAGCCAACTGGGCAGGGACTGTTTCTTCTCCATCAAATGGCAGCATCCTCTGGGCATGAACAATGCTTCCCTCACTAGACTGGAGCTCCCTAAGGCTGGGGCTGGATCTTCCCTCTCAGGTTTGGAGCTTTCCAGAGGCACAGAATGCCTTCTCTCTGCTCAGCCCAAGGCAGGGGTCAGTGGGCAGGCCCTGCTCCCCAAGGCTGCTCCCACGCCCTTTCCAAGGGGTCCCCCTAAGCCTGAGCAGCTTACCCTTGATCTCATGCTGGCTCTCTTCCCGCCTCTTCTCCAGCTCCTTGCGGTCATAGTTCAGCCTCTTCAGACACATGATACCATACTGAAGACTGGTTCTGCAGGCACACAGCACGCCTGAGCCCAAGCCTCGGCAGGCCATGTTCCCACCTCACCTACCCCACGCCCAGCGCTGGCCACAGCACATCCAGACTCTTCTTCCAGTACAAAGAGCACCCGCAGGCATTCAGGTGCCTCCCTCCCCAGGGCTTCTGCTGGATCCATCCCAAGGCTACTTCCTGCTCTCCCTCTTAGCCAGGAAGTGGGCCTGAGTGATGGAGGAAATGTTCTTTGAATGAAATCAACATGGCCCTCCCTCTCCAGGCACTGTGCCAGGCACTACAACAAAGACCCCAACTCCTGCAAGTCAAGGGAAAAGCAAAACAAGATACTCCTTTGTATTCTTATTTTACTCAGAGCCCTCACAATGGCCCACAAGGTGCTCCATGATCTGCCTCTTTACCTGTCTGACCTCCCTGCCGACTACCCTCCCTCTCTCTGCTGCAGCCACATGAAACCCCTGCTGTTCCTCCTACACAGCAAGCTAGGCATGAGAGCTTGAGGCCTTTGCACTGGCTGTTCTCTCTGCCTGGAACACCCTTCCCCCGGTTTGCTACATGGCTCACGCCCTCGGCCCCTTTAAATCTTTGCTCAAATATTACCTTCTCAATCCATTCAAATGTCACCTTGTCCATCTGATTTAAAACTGCAATATCACCGTCACCACCCCCAGCCCCACATTCCCAATCCCCCTTACCCTGGCCTAACTGTCCCCCTAGCACTGTGTGTGTGTGTGTGTGTGTGTGTGTGTGTGTGTGTGTGTGTGTGTGTACACATATATGAACCAGTTGCCATCAAGTCAGCTTGGACTCATGGCGACCCCATGTGTGTCAGAGTAGAACTGTGCTCCATAGGGTTTTCAATGACTGATTTTACCAAAGTAGATCACCTTGCTTTTCTTCCAGGGTGCCTCTAGGTAGACTCGAACCTCCAACTTTTAGGTTAGCAGCCAAGCACATTAACCATTTGCACCACCCAGGGACTACATATATGCATGTACATACATGTATATATACATATTATGTATTTATTGATCTGTGTCTGTCTCTTACAGATAGAATGTAAGCTCCTTGAAGGCAGGGAATTTTTTTTCTGTACTGATGTATCTCAAGCCCCTAGAACAGTGCCTGGCCTATAGTAGGCACTCCATAAATGCTTAATGAATTAAATGAAATAATCTATGTAAAGAACTAAAAGTACTTAAACAGGACCAGGCACATAGTATTAAAAAAAAAAAAAAAAAAAAAACCATTGCCATGGAGTCGATTCTGACTCATAGAGACCCTATAGGACAGAGTAGAACTGCCCCATAGGGTTTCCAAGGAGTAGCTGGTGGATTTGAACTGCCAACCTTTTGGTTAGCAGCCAAACGCTTAACCAGTGCACCACCAGGGCTCCAGGCACATACTAAGTACTCAATAAATAGTAACTAAGCCAGGCTGAGAACCACAGACTCTGTGGGCTTGAAGCGATCTCACTGGTCATCCAGTCCAAGCTCCCACCTAATGCAGGAGCCACCTCTGTAGCATCCTTCCGAGCAGTCGCTGAGCTATGCTTGAGCGCCTCCAGGGACAGGGAACTCACTACTCCTCGAGGCAGCTCATTCCATCTTGGGACAGCTTTCACTGTAGTGCTCTTCCTTAAATTGAAACTACCCTGTCATTCAGCCTCTCTGGGTTTTATCATCTATAAAGTGGAGAAACAGAATAGATGGTCTCCCAACTCCAACTGTTTTTGACTCTAGTATTGAAGCCATTGCTTTCTGAGATTAAATTAAGCAGACTACAGGCCTTCTCTCACCTCAGCTCTACACAGCCAGCCCTCCTGCCTAAAACCATCTCTCCCTTGTAGCTCAGAGCCACTGCTTCTAGGGACCCTTTTCTGGCTCAAGCCACCTACTCATTGCTCAAGCCACTAGTTTAAGCGTTGGTCCGCTTTGAGGGGGCAGGAATACACATGTACTCATGCCTAGAAATGCCTTCTGTCTAATTTCTACCTCACTGTAATTTCCAGTCCAGTTCCCAGGACCTTTAAAGTTGTTGCAGTATTAAGGATGGAACTGCATTCTCCCTACCCCAAAATATGTGTGGGAATCCTAACCTCTAAACCTGTGGAGGAGCCCTGGTGGCACAGCGGTTAAGAGCTCAGCTGCTAATCAAAATGCTGGCAGTTCGAATCCACCAGCCACTCCTTGGAAACCCTATGGGCAGTTCTACTCTGTCCTATATGGTCGCTATGAGTCAGAATATACTCAACGGCAACAGGTTCGGTTTTTGGTTTACACCTGTGGTATAATCCTGTTTGGAATAGGGTTTCTTTGTTATGTTAATGAGGTCATACCAGTGTAGGGTATGTCCTAAACCTAATCATTTCTGAGTTATAAAGAGAGCAGCACAGACACAGAAGTGAGCAAAACCAGGGAAGATCAATACCATGTGAAGATCGCCAAGGAACCAAGGAACACCAGGGCTACAGAGGCTGAAAGAGACAAGGATCTTCCCCTAAAGCCAAGACAGAAAGCTTTCCCCTATAGCCAGCGCCCTGAATTTTGACTTCTAGCATCTTGAACTGTGAGAAAATAAATTTCTGTTCTTTAAAGCCACCCACTTGTGGTATCTCTGTTACAGCAGCACTAAGAAGCTAAGACACATAGCACAGTAAAAATATAAAGGCCTTGAAGTCAGATGAGCCTGGATTTGAATGCCAACCCTGCCTCTGACTAGCTGTGTGGCACTTGGCCTCTCTCAGCCTCAGTTTCCCCACAGGCTTGCGGGGTTATTGGGAGGATTCAATTCTATAACGAATGGAAGGGCTCAGCCCTGTCCCTGGAATATCATAGGCACCACTACTAGGATGATGTTTCTGATTATTGTGTGTGTTTGCTCTCTCTTATCAAAACAGAAGCTCCCCAAGGAAACCTGCTCAACAGCACATCACTCTAAGGAAAAGAGCTCTCAACTGCGTGTCAAGAGATAAGTATTTTAGCCTCATTCTACAACCACCTGGCTGACTGGCTCGGGGAACTCGATTAACCTCTGTTGGACTTGTTTTCCCCATCTGTAAAAAGAGAATTAAAAAATATTCCTTTCCTCTTCAAAAAAAAAAAACGGTTTTAAAAGAATTTCTAAAGCTGTAAGATGCCTATAATATGTTAAGCAGAATAAAAAGCAGGTGCATACATAGTTGAGGTAAGGAATGTGAAAATGCTTTCGATAACTCTAAAGTACTCAAGATGTAGAGCTGATGATGATCTCAGAATCTGGAACCCGGAATTCTCTCCTGGGGACTAGCCTCAAGGAGGATTTCCATAATGCTGGGTGGGGCCGGGCTGACAGACCTCTAGGAGCCCAGGCGCATCCCTGCTCTGAAGGGGGAACTGTCCTTGTCTCCCGGTCCTGTCAATCACTGGGGAGGGACAGGTGCAGCTGGCCTGGCAGGCTGCTGGGCAGAGACAAAAGATTCCCTTTGTGGTAACCGGGGGGATGGTGTGGAGGGGAGAACGCAGGCTTCCCTCACAAAGCCAGCCCTCGTGCCTGGGGCCAGGCAGGCTGAGAGTTCCAGGACAGGAGGCTCTGCAGTGTGGTAGGAGGAACCCTGGACTTGGAGTCAGAAGGCTTGGGTCCCACCCCCATCCCTGTGTGACCTTGGGCTGTAATTCCTTCCTATGCCTCAGTTTCCTTATCCATAAAACGGAGAGACTAACTAGATCCTATGCGGGGCCTTGGTGGTTCAGTGGTAGAATTCGTGCTTTCCATGTGGGAGACTCAGGTTTGATTCTCAGCCAATGCACTTCATGCACAGCCACCACGCATCTGTCAGTGGAGGTCTGCAAGTTGCTATGATGCTGAACAGGTTTCAGTGGAGCTTCTAGACTAAAATAGACTAGGAAGAAAGGCCTGGTGATCTACTTTGAAAAATCAGCCAATGAAAATCCTATGGATGACAACTGTCCAACCTACAACCAATCATCGGGATGGTGCAGACCGGGCAGCGTTTCATTCCATTGTGCACTGGATTGCCGTGAGACAGGGCTGACTTGGTGAGAGCTAACAACGGTAACAACAGCTAGACTCCATCCTGATTCAACTTTCTGCAGTTTGAGCTGGAGACACCAAGGGCATCCACACAGTCCCTTGTCCCACTTTTCACACAAAGCAAAAGATTTGGTTCAAATAGCAACCTATGGATTTGAAACTGGATGTTAAGAAGGACTTCCTAAAATGTGTCAGCTCCTGGAACCATTACCATCCCAGCTTGCTCTCCAGCTCAAATGCCAACTAGGCAAGCAGGTAACATAAATGAGTGAAGTAGGCTGGGTGGGGCTGGGAGGACATGGGGATGTCTACCCCGTTAAGAGGGTGCGCTACCCAGCTCCAGCTGGTTGCTTCCATGCTACAATGTATGGAGAGAACTTTCCACTTTTCAAGAGAAGCCAGAAATCCAGAATTTTGTGTAAAATCTCCTAGTGTTTAAATACTGGTAACTAACTTCATAATTCTTAAAATTACTGTGCAGGCCACACAAAACACATTCTGCGGGCCAAATTCTGCCCAGGGTGCCAGTTTGGGACCTCTGCCACAGACTCTTAAACAGAAGATCTTTCAGCAAAGAAGAGGAGGACAGGATTGGATGACACGCTGTACAAATGGATGTGGGTTCACAAAGACACAAGGAAAATATCAGTCCAAAGGACTAACGGACTACATGAACCACAGTCTCCACCAGCCTGAGTCCAGAAGAACCAGATGTTGCCTGACTATCACCATTGACTGCTCTGACAGGGATCACAATAGAGGGTCCCAGACAGAGCAGAAGAAAAATGTAGAACAAAAATTCAAATTCACAAAAAAAGACCAGACTTACTGGTCTGACAGAGACTGGTAGAACCCCCAAGACTATGACCCCTGGACACCCTGCTAACTCAGAACTGAAGTCACTCCCGAAGTCCACCCTTCATCCAAAGATTAGACAGGCCTATAAAACAAACAATAACACGTGATGAATGTGCTTCTTAGTTCAATCATGTATATGAGACCAAATGGGCAACATCTGCTGAGAAGGCAGGAAGGGACAAGAAAACTGGATGAATGGAAATGGGAAACCGAGGTGGAGAAGGGGAGAGTGTTGACACATTGCTGGGACTGCAACCAATGTCACAAAACAATTTGTGTATAAATTGTTGAATGAGAAACTAATTTGCTCTCTAAACTTTCACCTAAAGCACAATTTAAAAAAAAAAAAAAAGCATATGGGTTCAAAACAGACAGGCTCAGATCTGGGATGCTAGTAGGACAAGAACCAGAAAGAACTTTCAACTTAGAGGGAATTACCGCCACTGATTGCCATAGGGAGTCTTGGTGGTGCAGTCGTTAAGTGTTTGGCTGCTAACCAAAAGGCTGGCAGTTTGAATCCACCAGTTGCTCCTTGGAAACCCTATGGGGAAGTTCTGATCTGTCCATAGTGTTGCTATGAGTCAGAATTGACTCGACAGCAATGGATTTGATTTGGTTTTAGTTGCCATAGAGTCGATGCTGACTCATGGTGACCACATGTATGTCAGAGTAGAACTGCTCCATAGGGTTTTCAATGGGCGATTTTTCAGAAGTAGATTGCCTGGCCTTTCTTCCAAGGTGCCTCTGTGTGGACTCAAACCTCCAACCTTTTGGTTATAATCCACATACCACCCAGGGACTCCAAAGGGAATTAGACACCTAAATTAGATGTTGGGGTCAGCTTGAGTCTTCTTAGGGTAAATGCAGATAAGCCCAAATGCTGAGCCACCAAGCCCAAAGACAAGTAATGAAGTTCAGACTTAGGGGGAAAATCTCAAAGCACATGAAGCTAAAGAGAAATGACTTTTTGTATCTTAAGGGTTAGAGATGAGCAGATCAAATCCTCAAATTGCAGGATGAGACAAGGATTCAACAAAGGAGACTTTCCCAACAGGAAGAGCTGTTACCACTCACAACAGGCCATGGAAAGAGTGGAGGCACTTCTATCTCTGGAGACAGATCCCCAGGCCTGGGAGTCAGAGCTGGAGGAGACCCGTGTGGGGGAGGTGACCCTGGGCTCCTGCCGCGCTCACCGATGGAAGCTGTCTACCATCTTCAGGTGGACCCGAAGGTCCTTCTTGGTGAGGTGGTCAAGCATGCGGGCGTCTACCAGGCACTCCATGAAGTAGCTGCGGTACTGGGGCAGCCCCAGGCTGGGCAGCCATTCGTTCCCAATCCATTCGTGGTTCATGTCCCCATAGGCCAGGGTCTGGGGGAACAAGAAGGGGAAGGTGATGGGGGAGAATGGCAGTACCAGCAGCCTGCAGGGGGCATATCTGCTCACGAGAAACATTAATCCATCCTCCATGCATGAGGGAAGAAGGGCAGTTCAATAACATTTCAGCTTATTTCCACTAATAGCCTGGTAGTGGTGGGAGATGGGGAGTTTAAATGGAACTTTTGAAGATCTTAAAATGATAAAATCCCACGCACATATCAATTATCTAATGAACAGAAGCAATTACGGCCCAGAAAGACCTTTACTCTCAGCTTGAAGGGAATTCGACACCTAAATTAGATGTTGAGTTCGGTCTGCGTCCTCTGAGAGAGCAGGCATAGAGAATTCAGGAAACCCAAAGACAAGTAATGAAATTCTTTCCGGGCTGCTAATACGGAATCTTTCTGCCGACTCTGGAATGCATTTGTGGTGTGCTACAGCAGACTTTTTTCCTGGTTCTAGGGGTCCCGCTGAGCCCAAGGGAGAGGCTGTGTTACAGGGGACACGCAGAGAGACAGAGGAAAGCCACTGTGGTTCTGGGCAACGGCTGGCCCCACACAGTCCACAAGGACCTAAATGTTGGCTGAAGACATAAAAATAGCGGCCTGCACCCAAGCAGCCAGCACTCAGTTCTCTATTCCTCATCACCTACTCCAAGAATTCTCCAGGTCTTCTGTTACTTTTCCCACCTACAGTCCCTCTCCCTGGCTCTCAGAGGCCTGCTCTGCTCAGGTGTCACCTCCTCAGCAGGGTCTTCCCTGACCACCCCATCTTTAGAAAGCTTTAGTTTTAACAGCAACCCTCCATTACTCTCTTTCCTTACCCTACTTACTTTAGACTGAAAATTTTTCTTTTATTATCTTTTAAAATGAAGTTGTTGGTACATAGAAAAATTATGTAACTTATGTTAGTTATTAAGACTAAAAATGAGGGGAGAAATGCAGAACAGAATTTCAAATTCTCCTAGACGTCAGACTTCCTGGAACCATGGAGGCTAGAAGAACCCCTGAAACTACTGTCCTGAGATAATCTTTAAAACTTAAACCAAAAATATCCCCCGAAGTCTTCTTAAAACCAAACAATAGTTTAGACTAACTAGTAAAAAATGTCTGCCTTGAGCATTATGCTCTTTTAAGAACTATCTATACAGGATCAAATTGACAACAGCAACTTAACAGATTAGATAGGAACCGTAGGGGGCAGTGAGTTTATGTTAATGGGGGAGGAACAACTCAGAAAAGGAGGGGAGAATGGTTGCACAACTCAAAGAATATCGTCAATGTCACTGAACTGTACATGTAGAAACTGTAGAATTGGTGTGTTTTGCTATGTATATTCTCAACAACAACAAAATAAATAAAATATAAAAAATGAAATGAGCATGCTTGGATCCACCATGCAGGTTAAGAATTGGAACATAATCCACACTGTCCCAACCACCTTTCTGCTCTTCCCCCGCCCCCAGCCCATTCCCTACTGCCTCTCTAATCACTATCCTGAGTTTCCTGTTTATTATTCCCTTGATTTAAAAAAAAAAATTATAGTTTTTTTAATAACCACTGGTGTATATTTTGCTAAACAATTTGTTATTAATTTTACTTGTCTTTTGAGTTTTAGTATCAATTTCTATGAATCTTTTGGGACTTGCATTTTTCACTTAACATTATGTTTCTGAGATTCATCCATTTCCTCTGCTGAATAGTTTTTTACTGTGTGAATACACAGCCATTGATTTGGCCAGTCTCCTGGAGATGGGGTTTTTGCTATGATTATAAACAGTATTGGTCCATGGTTATTTCTCTTCACAGCACTTATCATTAGCTGACATATTGTTAAACTACTTGTGTATTTATTTACTGTCTGCCTCCCCACTAGAATACAAGCTCCCCGTGGGCTCTGTTTGTTCACTTCTGTATCCAGAGAGCCTAGAAAGGCCTAATCCCCAGTAGATGCTCCATAAATATTTGCTCACTAAATGAATGAATGAATGAAGGCCTTTGCTCAGTTCACCAGGAGTGGCCCCTGAGAGGGCAGGGAGACAAAGGGGATTCAGACCAATCTAAGTCTCATTGTTCCTGGGAGGAGAGTTAAACTGAGAGGAGAAGCCAGACATGCTGGGGGCTCAGCCCTCCAGGGTTCCTCACCTGCCATTCTGAGAAAACAGAATAAGCAGCTAAAGGGTAGTGAGGAGAAGGAGGCTTTGCGGGAGGAGAGAACCTGTATCCAGGGCTCTCAGTGTGAAGAGGCACATAAATACACTGGGACTCAGAGTGGTGCTGGGGAGAGGACCTATTGGGAATACTGTCCTGAACTTCTGAGAGTTGGTTCTGGAGAAGGGAAGGGGTCTTACCTGAGCCCAGCTGCCCTCCTCACTGTCCTAGCAGGAACGAGTGCAGCGTGTCAGGGGAAACAGGCAAAGTCAAGAAACCTAGCAGCCTCCACCCCAGACCCCACCAAGAAGAGGCAGAAGCCCAGTAGCTGGGTGGGTGACCAGGGAAAGCTTGTTGGGACAGTTAAGAGAGACCAGAAATTTAAAGGAATTACAGTTGGTATGCCAACAAGGAAAAATATTCAAATTAACTTGTTACCCCAAGAAGATGCAAATTTAAATAATAAAGTGGTAACTGTTTTCTACTTAATAATTTTTTTTTTATTCTGGAAAGTGTAAAATAAAACGGACACTCTCATACCCTGCTAGAGAAACTATAAATTGTCATATTTAATAATATGTATCACAATCCTTAAAAATGTTCATACCCATTGACACAGCATTTCCATTCTGGAGAATATTCCAATAAATTATTTCTAATAATGTCAAAAAAAACAGAGAGACCAGAAGGCTGGTGCATATGCCCATTTATGGTGAGAGGGGAGCAAACGGGTATGTGGCAAAGACACTTACACACTTCTAAGGCTTGGGTGGGAACCCAGCAGGATGCCAGGCTCTCTAAACTCTCACTGTTCCTCCACCAAGGATCAAGCACAAGGGCAAGGACTCTGTGGCTTTGGGTGCATTGCAGCCAGGGCAAAGCCCTCCCAAGCCCAGCTCTTCTCCACTGCAGGGCACCTGTAGCCTAGGATGAGCCCCCTCCACACACAAACTATTTCCAATCTCACCACTTCCCCCTACCAACACTCCACCCTGAGAACAGAACCCAGTCATACGTCAGGGATATCGATATCATACAAGATCACCTGCAACCCCCTCGACTTCCCACAACTTTCTCCTGGTTCTCAGGAGTCATCAGTCCGGGCCAGACTCACTGTTCTTGTAGACGTTGCCAGAGTTTCCATCTCTTCATGGGTGACCCAGACGTTCCCAGAAGACTGTAAGCAAAGAGGAAACCTAGCCAGTCCTGGGATCCCCATCAGGGTGGAAGCCCCAAGAACAAGGACAAAGCTCCCTTCCTCTGAATCCTCCCATGGGCCCAGCCCAGGGCTCTGCACCCTTGATAGCAGGGGACACATTTCTTTTATCATAATATCCACACTGCTTAGCACAGTGCCTGGCACATAGAAGGTGCTCAGTAAGTGTTCCCTGAATGGATATAAATGAATGGTGCTAATCTGGAGATGGACCACAATGAAAGATTTTGGCCCGGGGACCCATGGGGCATCTGCATTCTCATGGAGAGTTGGAAGACCAGGGCAGAATTCCCCTGTCCTACTCCCTCTGCTTCCCTCAACCTGGCAACACCACAGACAGAACCTCAGAAGTTCCATTCTGGAAACTCTGCCCAGAGACCTGGAATTGCTGGCAGTGTAGGGAAGGGGAAATGCAGTCCATTGGAGGCACATGGGAGGCAGGGAACCAGGCCTGCTGGGATCCTCCTAGAGACCAGATGGAGCCCTTTGTAGGTTTGGGAAGTGGCAGGGCTGGGGGGAGACTCAATGCTACCACCTTCCCAAACACCAACGGAAGGCTTTGCAAATACTATTCCAGGGCCTCTGAAAATGTCCTGGGGGAGAGAGAGGCCACTCACAGTCCTGGAGGTAGGTGGGGCTGAAGGGCTGGTCAGCGACACCATCTCCTGGATGGCCAGGCGGAGCTTGAGCCGGTGCAGGGCATTGCTGATGCCAATCTCCCGCTGGATCTCCGTGTCCGACAGGGCGGACATGATGGCACCACTCTTGACATTGGCCCGGCAGGCTGCTACGTACCAGGCAGGCATCCCCACCCAGAGCTGCAGACACAGGACGCAGAGGGGTAGTTCAGGACCTTCCCCAAGATCTGGGCCCCATTACCAAGAACTTGGCAGTACCAAGGGGCAAGGGCCAGGCCTCATCCATGGTCTCAGGATAGCAAATGTAGAGTATAGGAACTTAGAAATGTGGAGATGACCATCATCAAGTCCCCCTCTCCCATTTTACAGATGAAAACTCTGAGGCCTGGGAAGGTAAAGGGATTTTTCCAACATCACATGGGTGATTAGCTCCTGGGGGACAGCCTATGTAAAAATTCAAACTACCTGTGAAAGTCTAATGCCTCGGTGATAATGACATCCCCTAATCCAAGCTTGGAGTCCCTGGGTAGTGCAAACAGTTAATGCACTCAGCTGTTCAAATCCACCCACAGGCACTAGGAAGAAAAGCCTGGTGATCTACTTTTGATCATTCAGGCATTAAATACTCTATGGCATACAGTTCTACTCTGACTGATTTGCCAGGAGTCAAAATCGACTTGATGGCAACTGGTTTTATCCAAACTTAGCTACTCATGAGGCATCAGTTGAGTAGCATCAACTGTGTCTTCCAAAGTAACTTAGGGGAGGTGGGCTAAATACTAGATATGGTACATGTGCACCTGGCCAGGGAGAAGCATGCCGGAAAGGTTCTAGGGATCAACCCTCGGCCTGAGGGGCCCCTACTCCCTCCCTCACATCCCTCTTACTGTTCCCCTAAGGGAACTCCCTTTGGCCAGGCTTACCTCCAGCCAGGAGACCACAGTAGGGCCATCCCACTGGGCAAAGGGCATCCCTTTTCTACGGGCATCTTCAAGCAGCTGGTGTCTTGCAAGAGAAGGAAAAACAGAGTCACTAGTCCTTCCTTCTCTCCCAGCCATGCTCATTCCTGGGGACCACTGGGTATGCCAAGAGCTGGACTCCTGTTACCCCTGCCTTCTCACCCTGGGGCTGCCACCTCTGCTCTATGCCAGAAGCAGTGACACCAAGAAATGGTGCAGTAAGACTCTCCATCCCCCAGAGGGCGAGGGGCTCTCTGTTTGCATATGACCTGACACATAACTGCCTTGGCCATTTCAGTTGGCTCCGCCAGACACTCACAGGTCCTGCCAACTCTCCCACAGCCCCCTTGCCTCCTTCTTCCAAGCGTCACCCTGAGAACCACCACCCAGCCCCTGTGGTCCCACAGGGACCAGGCCAATTCAGTTCAGAAAGGGGCTCTGGCTCCGGCTCCCTGAGCTCAGACCCCTCAGAAGGTGGATAGGGGGCTGGGCCCCACCCTGACAGACCCTGGCCTGCAGTTCTTACTTCTTCTTCAATCGCCGGTCCTTCTCTGCCTGGGTCCCCAGCTTGGCAGGCACCATGGGCTCCTGCAGACTGAGCTCGGAGTCTGTTAGAAGAACTAAAATAGAAGAGATGGGCATGTCAGCCAGGTCCTCTGCTTCTCCACCCTTGGCCTGGGACAGGGCCTGGGAGCAGCAGCAGCAGGAGGGCACCTCGGCATGTGGCCATCGTTCCTAGACCCTCCACTCAACATCCGTGTGTCCAGTTAGTCCCAGAGTGGCATCCAGTGGGCCATCCCCAGCCCAGGCCCCCCCACTGTAAGCTTCAGCCCTGGAAGTGTTTTCTAGTTGGATGGACCAAAGGTGTCCCACTCTGATGGCAGCAGAATCCTAAACAGAACTTGTCCCTCCTCCCAGGCAAGGTGCAAAGGAAACCCAGAGATCCAGATACATGGGATATGAGGCTCCAAGAGAAGAATTATCTTAACTTGGGCCAAAAACAAAAAAACAAACCCATTGCTGTTGAGTCAATTCCGACTCATAGCAACCCTATAGGACAGCGCAGAACTGCCTCATCGGGTTTCAAGGAGTTGCTGGTGGATTTGAACTGCCAACTTTTTGTTAGCAGCTGAGCTCTTAACACTGCACCACCAGGGCTCCTAATCTGGGCCACGGGTAGGGAAAAAGAGTATGCTGAGAGATGCGTCTCTCAGCCTTTTTAGGTGTGCTTGCTGGCACAAAACTGCAAAGGGGATCACAGCCCTGTCTTCTATTAAGGATCTTGAATTGATGCTAGAACCCTATAGAATCCACGGCAGAGGGCAGCATCTTGGAATTCATTTCTCTCTAAGAAGTCCTGGTCCCTCTCCACAGTGCACAAGGGGTAGTGGGTGTGGGTATCCAGACACCAATCCGAGATGCTGCCTTATGTTTAGATGGCAAAGTGGTATGGGTAACACAAGAAGTCATAAGACTGCATACAAAATGCCTCTTCCCCTCGTAAGACCTTTCAGCTTCCCTCATCTGTGATCAGCTCCACAGCTTCCACGCCCCCTGCAGGCTCGGGGGTGTGTACCACCTCATCCTCAGGCTGAGGCTCACATATCCCATCCCGAGCAAAGGTGTCCACCTTTCTGCTGTGCTCAGCTACCTATGTTTGCTTCACACCTTCCTGAGGTATACTATTGCTGTGTGTCATCCGGTCGATTCCGACTCACAGCGACTCTATGTAACAGAGTAGAATTGCCCCACAGGGTTTTCTAGGCTGTAATCTTTACAGGAGCAGATAGCTACGTCTTTTCACCCATGGAGCCACTGGTGGGTTTGAACTCCAAGCTTTCGGTTAGCAGCTGAGCGCTTAACCATTGTGCCACGGGGGCTCTCTCTCTTGAGGTATGAGAAGGTATAATTAAGCATTTGGGTTCAAAGGTTCTTGTCTTCTAGCTGATCACATCCCTCCACTATGAAATGCACCAATGCTCCCACTGACAAAGGGTCACTTCCAAACCTCTTCAACAGACTTGACAAGGCCTTTATGAGCTAGCCCTAGCCTACCTGTCCAACCACATCCCTTTCTTCTTGCTTTAAAAAAAACAAAACTCCTGCTTCTCCAGCACTGAAATCTTTCTTCTCCACTCTGAAAATATTCAGCTGCTCACAGAACTCTCCCACCCACCAGCCTTTCCCTTTCTCAACCCTCCCCACCCCACACACACCTCTCGTCTTGGCTTGGCTAACTCCTATTTACCCTTCAAGTTTCAGCTCGGGTGTTGCCCAGCAGAGGAAGCCATTCCTGCTGCCCTCACCACTCCATGGCTGAGTTAAATGCCCCTCCCGTCTGAGTTTCAGAAGCACCCTGGGCATATCTCTATCATCACATAGCTTTAGAGTCATCTCTTCATTTTCCTTTTCATTAGACACAGAGCTCCTTCAGGGAACAGACTATCACACCAACACCTAATACTATGCCTGTATACAGTAATTACTCAATCTTTGCTGAACAAATAACTGAACAGATGAGGGAAAGAAAAGGAGGGAGGGAAGGAGGGGAAGGAAGAAAGGAAAGAAGGAACAGGGAGAGGGAAGGAAGAGAGCTGACATTTATCATGTACTACCGTGTGTCAAACAAGTGCTAGAACTGTGTATCATCACAGAGGTGTACTAATGCTACCCCTGCCCAGACACTCACTGGAATGAATGCCTACAAAGTCATAGTAGGTGTTATAATATTGTTGAGTCCTGGAGGCCAGATGTACTAGAAATAAGTTCCAATCAAGAGCTGACTCTTCTAAAGAAAGAACCAAGAAATTTCTCTAGCTTCATTTTGCTGGTGTACTTCCTGGAAGTCCTGAGCACAATAACACCAGGAAACCTCTGAACTGGAAGAAACCTCAGGGGTCCAATACAGGAACCTCTTCTGCAGAGGCAAAGCCAGTCGCCATCCAGTGCTGCTTGGCACTTCTCGGGGCAGAGGCTTCCCTCCTACCCCCATAAAGCAGCCCATCCTGCCATGAAATAGCTCCAAGAGAAAACTCCTGTTTCTCTTTCAGTGGTTTTGCCCATTTGTAACGTTAATATATACTGATGACTCTGTAACGTTCCTTGGACTGGGGCAGACATGGCCCTGGCAGCATGCTTGTCTGTTTTCCTACTCTTGTCTATTCTGTAGTATTTCCTTGGTCTTGGGCAGACATGGCTCTGGCAGCATGCTTGTCCGCTTCCCACTTTTGCCTTTTTGAATATATGCCCAATAAAACTTTCTTCTTGCTTAAAAAAAAAGAAAACTCCTGTTTCTCCAGCGCTGAAATCTGCCTGTAGCTTCTACCCACCGGTCCCTGGCAGGCGGCAGAGAAGGCCTGACCCAAGCATACCCTCTGCTTCTGACCCCTCTACCCCCGCCCCTTGGCTAGGAAGGGGACAGAGACCATGGCCCGTGGCTCCATCCCGACTCAGCTGGATCAGCCTGCCCTTCTCCTTCTTCCCGAACAGGCGGCCGATGGATGACTTGATGCCCTTGCGCTTGGCACCCTTGTGTAAGGAGTCCTGGCTGCTGTTGCTGCTGCTGGGGTTGCTGCCCTGATCCTCCAAGGAACTAAAGGATGACAGCCAGGAGGGGTGGAATGAGAAGAAATACACTTAAATTACAACAGGAAAGACAGAAGTTAGCCCTCAGGAAGAACTCAGGGTGGGGCTGAAGGGGGATGATCAAAGCCCATGACCAGGCGAGACATGGAAATATCCTTCCCTGATGGTGTGTCAAAGAGAAGTGAGCCATTCAGGTGCCTGGAGTGGGTGAGACGCAGTGCGTTCAGAGGCCAGGGGAGGGATAAGATGACCCTGGGGATGAAGAGACTAGAGGTGGGGGCCTGCTCCGCCTACCTCTTGCCTTCCTCCTGGCTCAGGGCTGGGTGGCCAAGCTTCTCTAGCCGCAGCGTCCTGGGTGAGGAAGGAGGAGAAGTCTCACATTTTATGGTGGCTTTATCCTCTCGGTTCTCTTCCCGAGACACTGGCGACTAAACAGACAGTGGAGCCGTCAGGGGATAGAGGGAGAGATCCGGGGCCTGCCTACCCCACTGGGACCAGGCAGAGGGGCAGGGAGAAGCGCAGTGGGGAGCCCCAGGGGCCTCTCTGAGTTCAAATTCAGACTGGGGGAAGAGGCCAAAAGGGAAGGGGCTGGGGGCAATTAACCCGTTAGTACCTGGTGTCAGGCAGCACTCACCAGCAGCTTCCTTCTATGCTTTCTTAAGTCACTGGGCTGGAAGAGAGAGTGAAGGGTGAGCACTGACTCACTTTCTAAGTGCCCTAAACGAACCCCAAGGGGAGCCCAGTGGCCTTAGGATGGGGAGACAGGGTTGAGTGCCCTGCCCAGGCTCTCCCTGGCACTGCCAAGGCCCTCGGAGCCTCACATAGGCCCAGACGGAACACAGCAGAAACACGCTGGCCTGGAAGGGTAAGTCGGGGCTACCTCTAGAAGAGAGGAAAAGAGGTGGGCAGTGGACGAGTTTCTCAAATGCTCTATGCCTATCTAAGGCGAGGGAAGGAAGATACTACACAGGCCCCTTCCACGCCCAGAAGTTCATGTTAAGGGCCTGACAGCCCGGGACCTGCACCAATCATGGGAAGAAGGTGCCAGGCCCAATTAAGAGAACATGAGCCGTATTATCCGATAAACTCCTCTTGGCCAGTCCTCAAGGCAGAGCCCAATGATGTCTCACCAGGGTCATGACCCCCATTCGGTCCAGGTCCTGGGCGGCACTGCGGGAGGTAAGCTTCGGTGTAGAGCGGCCGCTGAGTGGTGGGGACGCGCTGGCCAGGGACAGGGCTGTCAGAGAGGTAGGGATGGAAGCGCGTTTCCGTAGCTGTGTCAGGTTCAGGGCCTCCATGCTGCCACTGGTCACTCGTGTCTCAATCTCCTCAGCGCGGAGCTCGGTGGACTCCTTCTCTTCCTGGATCATCCTGGGAGCGGGCAAATCAGATCTTGCCGTTAGCCCAGGCAATGCCTGGGTGGACCCCACTGCGTCTGGCACTGCAGGGATACACAAGGCCTGGTGGGCAGTTGGTTCTATCCTGCTGTAGCTTGGAAACTTACTTCTTTCTCTCTCAGTAGCTGGCCTATCACATGGTTCAACAAAAGCACTGGCTGGGAAAGAGGCATTTTAGCTAGTGGAACACAAGCATTCTGGAAGTCAGAACTCCTGATCTGCAAGGGTGACTTTGAAGTTGGGCACTTTGCTCTCTGGGCCTCAGTTTCCCAATATATACAATGTCAAAAAAAACCACTTGCCATTGAGTCAGTTTTGACTCACGGCAACCCCATGTGCGTCAGAGTACCACTGGGCTCCATTGGGTTTTCAACGGCTCATTTTTCCAAAGTAGATTGCCAGGCCTTTCTTCTGAGGCACCTCTGGGTGGACTCGAACCTCCAACCTTTTGGTTAGCAGCCAAGTGTGTTAACTGTTTGCACCATCCAGGGGCTGCACACAATGCCAAGAGTGGTTTAAATCAATAGTTCCCAAACACAGGAGCTTTAACTGGTGCTGACCCCGTATGCAGTGTTCCCTGTTCCATGAGAAAAATAATGATATGGGTATATGGGTGTGTACGTATGTACGTATACTCAGAGAGAAGGAGTGTGTGTGGCATTTATACGCACTCACACATACACATGTGCGCACATACACAGATGTTGATGGAAAGATGTCAACTGTCCTTTATGGAGAAGGACTCGTCTTCATTCTGAGAGTACGTCTTTCCTACTTTGTTGTGTGCCGTCAAGTCAATTTCGAGTCACAGCAACCCTACAGGACAGAGCAGATCTGCCCCACAGGGTTTCCTAGGCTGTAATCTTTACGGGAGCAGATCACCAGGCCTTTTCTCCTGAGAAGCCACTGGTGGATTCAAACCATCGACCTTTTGGTTAGCAGCTGAGTGCTTAACCACTGCACCACCAGGGCCTTTCTTTTACAGAACAGTTGTGACAGTAAATGGTAGTTATCTTTAATGTTGCACTTCGCAAAATAAGAGTTGGCAGGCCAATGTTAGTGCTCTTCTTTTTTTTCCTACTGCTCTATGAATCCAAAAGTTCAGAGAAATCATTGAACCGGATGACCTCTACCACCTTGTAAAGCTCTGACATACTCTGGCTCTGATTTCCCCTCACTGTTAGCCATCACCGTGAATAAACTCTCTACAAAGGCAGGATAAGGTGGAAGTTTTGACAACTTTCCCTGGCACTGGCTTCTGTCTGACACCCTATTAGCGACAGGAAACATGGCACAGTGGACTGAGTTTGAATCTCGACTCTGCCACTTTCTAGGCGTGTGGGCTTGGGCAAGTCACTTAACCTCTCTGAGATTCTGTTCCTTTTCCTGTAGAACGGAGATAATGCTGCCTACCCCAGGGACCACGGTAAGACTGACAGTGACATTTATGAAGCTTTCCCCCCGAATGGCCTCAGTGAGTGGGACCCACACTTGTAGTGATTATGATTCACTGCAGGAGCTGCAGAACACAGCCTCCAGTCTCCCCTGCCCAGCCACATCAGCAGCCATAGGGGAGGCAATAAAGCCTGAGAAGCCAGTCCAAGGTCCCAGCCCCTCTCGGTCCAGCACTGGGCCAGCACCTTGCCTGACGCCCCACACAGGACCCTAGACTGTAGAAACAAGCAAATGCAAGCAGCAGGTTCCTTCTCTCATGCAACTCAGGCCTAGTTCCCAGCTAGGTTTGTCCAAACATGACGGGGGGCCCCCCACCCCTTCCCTCACCTAATCTCCTCGTTGATGGCATCCAGCTGCTCTTGCAGCATCATTGCCAGAGTCTGGGCATCAGAGTGGCCGCTTGGAGAGACAACATCCACGGAGCCCAACAGCCCCCCTGGCTCTTCCTCATCCATGTCGGAGATCTCGGTGTCACTGTCGATGGCAGGGGTGGCTGTTGGGGCCAGCACCCCAGGCAGTGGAGATGGCTCCCAGTCCTTAGCAAAAACGGAGGGCAAAGAGGAAGTAATAAGACACCCAGATAGCTGTGGAGCAGGGCCATCCCCACCTCCCCCATCTCCCTCTAAAAGAACCCTTAACTCTGTGCTATCAACGTGTGGTCCTAGGGCCTGGCACACTCACATCTCCTGCGAGCTTGTTAGAAATTCAGAATGTCAGGCTGCACCCCCAGAACTCCCAATTCAGAATGTGCACTTTAACCAGATCCTCAGGTGATCTGCTTGCACCTTAAAGTCTGAGAAATAGTACTCTCACTCAAGAAGCTAGATAGCATAGTAGTTGTGAACACAGATTCTGGAGAAAGACTGCCTTGATTTGAATCTTGGCTCCACCAAATACTAGTTGTGCAATCATGGGAAAGTTGCTGAATCTCTCTGTGCCTCAGTTTCTTCATTTGTAAAACGGGGATAATCACAGTACCTGCCTCAGAGGTGGTTGTGAGGATTAAATGAGGAAATGCATGTAAAGCACTCAACACGGTATCTGATACAAAGTAAGCACTATATAAAGGCTGTCAATTTCACTAATATAAACGCAAAAAGGGTGACTAGATCCAGGGAACAAGAACAGGCCAAGCAGGCTGGACTGTCTCATGTCTCCCAGAGGTTCAGCATATCACATCAACCCTGACAGACGGTGGCTTCTCAGAAATCATCCTACCACCCTCTTCAATGGACAAAGGAAAAGGCACGTAACTGGGCTTGGAGAGCCAGCAGAGCAGGGGAAGGAAAAGCAAGGGGGCCAGGGACAGAGCGGTGCTCTAACCCCCATCCCTCTGTGGCCCTAATCCCCATGTCTCCCTGAGGGCTCTTTTCCAGCTCCTCCAGCCTTTAGTTGCAGCTCTTCAGCAGCTGCTGCCTTCTTACAAACAGAAAGAGCAAAGGGTGAGGGGAGAGAGAAACAGCGTGCCTTCAGTCTGTGGCTCCTCCATCAGACTAGGCGTTTCCTAAGGAGAGATGAATCTTCCCCCATCAGACTAGGTGTTCCCTCCTTCTCTATTATCTTCTAGTGCCCTAGAGCATGGAGAGGGCCGGGGCTCAGGTCAGAACATGATGAACAGTTCTGGGGCCAGGCAAGAATCAGACTGCCCTGAAAGACCGCGGCCAGCCCTTCTCTGCCCCTTATCTTTCCTGATTCCCCAGAACCTCCCAAGGCAGATTCAGAAAACATGAGCACTCAGCTGCTTCCCAGAAAACTCCAGGTGCCATCCCAACAGCCCAGTTAACCTGTCATCCCTCCCTCATCTCCCCCATAAACCACAGCTTTTGTTCCAGAAAGCCTGCCAATTCCATCTTGCCCCTGCCCACCCCATACCCCCCTGCCCCCGACTACCAGAAACACACGCCTGCACACTCAGGCACACGCACACACACTTCTGTGGGGCCTCAGGGACAGGCTGGCCGCCCGCCAGCCCCTACCTCTTGCCCACCAGGAGGCTGGGGTGAGGGGGGCACAGCTGTTACAGCTGACAATGGCCCCAACCCCAGGGCTGCAGCTGTTGTCAACATGGGGAAGGACAGGGGGGAGGATTTGCACCACACGCCAGCCGTCTATGTAAGTGGAGCCAGGCATGCAGCCGAACTGACCCCAAACTCCCTGGGGAAAACCCCCCACACTCATACCTCCACCCCCTCACCTTGGCAGGCTCTTCCCGAAGTGCTGAGAAGCGGCGATGCAGCCCAGGGGGTGCGTGGGTGGTTGTGGTCAGGGAGAAGCGCACGTCCGCTGCACTGCCCATGTGTGACCTTGAGTGGTAGGTGCAAGAGAAAAGACAGCCCCTGAGGACTGAGAACCCCAGCTCACATCCACCAGGCCTGAACAGCTAAGGGAGCTTCAGCTTGGAGAAAAGAAGGCTTAGCAGGACAGAGCTATCATACATGTTTGAAGGGCTGCCACTTAAGCAATAGAGAAGGCTTATTCTCTGTTGCTCCAGGGATGAGAATGACACAGGGGAGGAAGTTCTAAGGAAGCAGCTTTCTATTTAACATAAGAGGACCTTCTAATAGCAAGAGTCGACTTATGATGCAACTGGCTGTTTTGAAGAAATTGAGCTCCCCAATCCGAGGTATTCAAGTGGAGGCTCTTTGGCCATCTGACTAGAACAGTGCAGGAGGGCTCCAGCACTGAGAGAGGTTGGAAGGGATGATCTCTAAAGGTCGTTTTAGCTCACAGAGGCCCTGTTTCTTGGCCTTCTCTTCAGCCACTTTCCTTGGGTCTCCCTACTATCTGGACCGAGTCCCTGGCTGAAATCCATCCCCAGGAAGCTTCCAGAGGCTCTGACACTGTATCAGAGACATGGTCTGGAGAGAAACCATTTTGACTTCCCCAAGAGTCTATTCCAATCCTGAGATTTTAGGATCCCAGGAATTATCCTCCGGAATATCTGGAAGCTTTCCTTCCTTGGTGACAATTTTCTCTATCCCTTCCCAGCTTGAAACCCTTGAGGGAAGAGCGAAGGGACAAGGTGCCTACAACAGGTAGCTGGAGAGAGGGGAGTTCCTGCCTCTCCCTTCTTCTCCTCTGCAACTCAGTCCCAATTCCAAGATGGGTCCAAGTGGTCAAAGACAGGAATTCCCAACCATTAAAGAAAGCAAGTAGAAGCCCCAGTGGCACAGTGGTTAAGAGCTTGGCTGCTAACCAAAAGGTCGGCAGTTCGAATCCACCAGCCGCTCCCTGGAAGCCCTATGGGGTAGTTCTACTCAGTTCTCCAGGGTCACTATGAGTTGGAATCGACTCGACGGCAAGGGGCTTTAAAGAAAGCGAGTAGTAGACAAATGGCTTGGGGCACTCTGAGCCATGTCTTATTAAATTGTGGGCTTGGTCCCTTCTGAGCAACCTACGGGAAGGGAGAAGTAGGAGAAATCCCAACTACCATTTTCTGTCTCAACTGCCTGCTTCTCTCCATACCCTTGTACAATAACTTCTGATAAACTTGAAGATGGTATTTAAGTCTAGGGCACCACCCTAGACACTCATGAGCTTCTCTTCTTCAAGTTCAATGTTCCTTTCCCTAATTCAAGCACTACACCTCCCCAGACCCACATATAAACACAGAAATATCCTTTAACCTCTCTTTACAGAAGCTAATCCCTATTACCTGATGTAATAAGCACATGACTAAGAGGAACCACAAGGGTTCTAATCTAAGAGACTAAGGAGCCATTGACCTTGAGTGACATCATCTACTTCAGTCTCCTTGACCCGAAGGCAGGCTTGAAGTTTGAATTCAATGCCAACAGCTTCACAAAATGGGGAAAGAAATCCAGAATTTTCCTAAAACATGAGCCTAATGCAAGTTATGTAGAAGCTCCACTCACCATCTCTTAAAATAGTTTTAGGAAAAGGGATGCTGTGACCTTATTAGTGATCAGGCGTCTCAACTCCCAGCACTAAGGAAGTTCTTGATACCTTATTTCAATCTCTCTTGCTGCCTTTCTACCACTACCTGATACGTGAATTTAGGTGGTCCTCAATTCTCAAACAGCAATTCTCTAGAGCCCTAAAGACAGTACCTCAAAAGAACTAGAATGAGTGGCACTCTCCCTCAGGGGGCCCTGGGGACATGGGTGAGCATGTAATTCAGCAGGCCCTCTCCAACAGCAGGCCCTTCTGTCAAAGAAGCAGGAAGCATGGCCTGTGTCTCATGGCACTAGGAAGAAGCATCTTCTGCTTTACTTGCCTCTCAGCATCCCTCTGAGGACAGGTGCTTCCTTCTAAGCTGCCTATGTGAGCTAAGAACTTTGAACAAGCTCTCTGAGCTTCAGTGTCCCACCCTGAATAGGAGGAGGACCCTGAGGTCCTGGGCGGTCTTTTGGTGGAGGGAAGTCTCCCTCCTCAGGGTCCATCCAGGACCCTGTCCCAGCACGCCCAGCCTCCCGCGCTCCAGTACCTGGAGTGGATGCCATCCACAAATGGCCCCCCTCGACCCTTCAGCTGGTCCACCTCTTGGCGCAGCTTCTCAATCTCTTCAGACAGGCGGCCCTGTGCCAGGCAGACCCGGGGTGAGGGTGGGGACCAGGGAGGGGCAGAGAGGGGAGAGTGGGCATCAGAGAGGGACAAAGAGGACAGCAGAATTGGGGAGAAGCAGAAGAATGCACTGTGAAGTCCAGATCCAGGGACCCCAGGCCAGGCCCATAGATGACACCAAAGAGAAGAGGTCCAACTGGAGAGTGAGCAGAGGGTTGGCAGAGGGGCAGGCAGAGTGTCAGAGTCAGGAGGGGGTCTGCCTGGGGAGGATGCTACTATAATAGGCCTGCTGACCTCTCACCACGACACACGGGCATAGCAAACGAGGCTCGGCAGCAGAGGGGCCCCAGTGCCCTCCCAGAGCTCACAGACATCGCTGAGGAAGGGACAGTGGCTAATCCTCCAGGAATCACGGGACTCTTGCCTCACCAGGGGCTGAAGCCCACCAAATCCTTTTGCTGAGCCCTCCGTTGGGTCCTACCTGTCTGCTGCCACCATCACCACCCTATGGCCTGAGCCTATGGCCTTGGTTTCTTCTTTACATGTGGGGAGGGGTGTATCTACTGTGAAGGGCTGTAGTGCTAACCGGTGAAATCACATATGCACGCGGGCTACCATATCGGCTAACACAGTGCCGGGTATCACAGCAGCCGCATAAAAACAGGCGTTTTCTTCGCTCACGACCACCCGACCCTCCCAGCCAGGGCAGGGCTGGCCAGCAGCTGACTACCTTGTGGTGGTGCTGCTCCTCAATCTGCCGCTGGGAGCTCTCCAACTCCTGGATCAGCGTGTTCTGGGGGGAACAGCTGTGAGCCAGGGACCCCGACCCCTCTACTGCTCAGGCCCAAGCCTCCCGGTCCCCTCTCCCATCTCCCCCCCCAACTCTGCCCCGCCCCCTCCCCTGCCCAGTCTCCATCCCCCTCTGCAGCTTTCCAGGGCCGACTCCACACTAATCCACAGCCCCAACCTCACCCTGACCGCGCCTCCGATCCCAGCCCCGCCCCCTGACTAACCTCTTCCATACCCCGAGGCCGGCCGACCCCACCCACACTCCTCTCGCCACGCCCCTCAGCCGGCCCCACCCCTCCCGGAAGCCCCGGCCCCGCCCAGCTCAACCAGGCCCTTGGCGCTCAGCACCTTTTCCTCAAGGGCCGCCATGCGCTCCTTGAGGTGGAGCTGCAGGCGCTCGTTTGACTCGCTAAGCAACCGGTCCACGGTGTCTGACAGTCGCTTGTTGTGGTCCTCATTCATCTTCTCCCGCTGGCGCACCTGCACAGCCAGACTGCCTTGCACCAGGCCACCCCAGGGCCTTCTCCCAGCCCTCACCCACAGTCAGCCACCCAGTCCTCAGGGTCCTGCCTGTTCACCAGCGGGAGTACCTCTCTCCAGCGCTCCTGACCACCTCCTCCTTCCCCACCTGCAGGCCTCCTCTCGGGCTCTGTGGCTCTGTACCTGGCCAGGCCCCTCCCCATCACTGCTACAGTCCTTCCCTATCCCCCACCCTTCCTCTGCGCTCCTTCCATAGGCCATCGTGGGAGTCTGGGAGAATTGGGGCTGAGGGCCTAGGCTGTTGCCCTCACCCTTGCCAGCTCCTGGTTCTTCTCCTCCAGCTGCCCCTCCAGCTGCCTCAAGTGCTCCTCAATGTTGCCATGGCGCTCTTCAGCCTAAGGGCAGGGATGGGCCAGGGAAGCCCATTGATCTATCTGCTCCTCCTGCTCAGGTCCCGCATCCCCCACACCCTGGTGCCAGGTGGTCTTGGAGATCAGAGCCTCAGGTACCAAAGAAGCCCAGCCCTCCACCTGTCATCCTGGAGCAGAACTGCCATCACCGCAGCTTTTCTTCCCAAGCACCCTCCACTCCTAACGGGTTCTCCCACCTCTTTCCTGGTCAGGGTTAGTCTTAAAATATCCTGGAGCTGGCAGCTCAAGAGACCATAAATCCTCCCCGTGCCTCCAGAAAAAAACTCCCCTTAAAAGAATGAACCACCATAAATCTCCTCTATGTTTCCGGATAATGGAATTGCACTTAAGAGCATGGACCCAAGCCAGACTGCCTAGGTTCAAATCCTAGCTCCTTCTCTTAGTATGTGACCTTGGGCAAGTTACTTTTCTCAACTGTATATGTGGACAATAAAACCGTCCATGACCACTGGATGGATATCACCTTGAAGACTAAGATGTGCCTGACCCAAGCCATGGTGTTTTCAATCACCTCATACGCATGTGAAAGCTGGACAATGAATAAGGAAGACCGGAGAAGAACGGACACCTTTGAATTGTGGTGTTAGCAAAGAATATTGAATATACCATCGACTAACAAAAGAATGAACAAATTTGTCTTGGAAGAAGTTCAACCAGAATGCTCCTTAGAAGCAAGGATGGTGAGACTACGTCTCACATGCTTTGGACATGTTGTCAGAAGGGATCAGTCCCTGGAGAAGGACATCATGCTTGGTAAAGTACAGGGTCAGCAAAAAAGAGGAAGACCCTCAATGAAGTGGATTGACACAGTGGCTGCAGCAATGGGATCAAGCATAACGATTGTGAGCATGGCACAGGACTGGGCAGTGTTTGCTTCTGTGGTACACAGGGTCGCTATGAGTCAGAACCGACTCGACGGCACCTAACAACAACAACATACCCACTGTTTCATTGAGAGGACTAAATGAGCTAGTCCATTGGAAGCACTTAGAACACAGCAAGCATACAACCCATGTTTGTTGTTGTTGTGGGCTGTCAAGACAATTCTGACTCACAGCAACCCTATATGACAGAGCAGAACTGCCCTATAGAGTTTCCAAGGCTGTAAATCTTTACGGGAGCAGATCACCAGGTTTTTTCTCTCATGGAGCCACTGGTGGGCTCGAACTGCTGACCTTTCAGTTAGCAGCCCAGCACTTAATGATTGTGCCACCAGGGCTCCTCCCAATCCATGTTAGCCATGGTTACACTGCTGTTGTAAAACCAGTCCAGGTAGAGTGGTCTCCTTTTTCTTTTATGTGTCCCTGAGACGGAGACCCTACTGTCTCCACTGACAAGGTATTCCAAAATATCACACCTATTACAGTTAGAAAATCCTTCCTTAAAAACGCACCTGCTGCTGTGGGGACCATGGTCTCGGGGAACATCTAGCTCAACTGGCATAACACAGTTTATAAAGACAATGTTCTACATTCTACCTTGGTGAGTAGTGTCTGGGGTCTTAAAAGCCT